GTAAAAGGTTCAGTACAGATTCTCTGGTAATATTTCCACCTGAAGAGATGCTCTGCATTATCAACAACAACGTGCCGTAAATAAGCAAAATGTCACAGAGGACCTGGGAATTATTTCTCTTTACACAGAAATCAAAGACCCTTTCACCTAAAGAAAAGAAAAGAAAGAAAGAGAGAGAAAAGATTTATCAGCTCACTGGAGAAGTCCACAAGTCCTTTTTTTTATGAAATTATTACAGCTTGTTCCATTGTTCTAACACTCCCCAAAACAAAGGCATGTTTAGTTGAATGCTCGATTTCAAGAATCACATGATGCCAGAGCAGAATGGTACGCCCCTGCATCTTTCGTACCTTGTCCCAATTGTTCTCCTTCTGAATTTCTCATGAGCTCAAAGGTGTTACTGCAATGTTTAAACTTCAAACCAATGAAAGGAATAATATATGGACGAGAACAAACAAAAAGACAACCAAGATGGAAAATCCAGCAGAAACGAAGTGACATATTTTTCTCATATAAAGGTTTTCATTTTGGTGATAAGAATCCGGAGAAGGGCAAAATTTACGCGCGCCGGTGTTTACTACAGTGTCTAGTAGCTTCCAGCTATCATCTCCACAACACTACATCGCCTATGCTATGGAGCTACTAGTCTAAAAAGTATTGAAAATCCCCTAGACAACACCTAAAACGTAGGTTCCGCCTAATGAAGTTCACGAGCGAGGACAAAGTTTTAAATACATTGCATCTAGAATCCATGGTCATGTCAGGCGGAAACACGACCATGATCATGTCAGGCTGAAACACGACTATGATTCCCCGGGGAGTGAAAGCAAGTTGAAACTGCTCCACATTTGGGGGCTTATGAGATAAGCTTGGTTAAGGGAAACCCAAATCCTTAAGCACTCTCCTGAAAATGCAAGAAGCGAATAGTACTTTACTAAAGTGACTGTTTCAATCTATCTCACCACCTGCGATGCTTGTGCAGTAAAATTTCTAAAAAAAATTTCATCTAACCCATAACTTGTTAAGCATTTCACATACTTTATCTTCAAAGTCTGTCTCTTTTGAATTGAGGAAGAGAAATTTAGAAGATTCCATCCTAATTGCTACATATGGGTTAATCGTAGCATCTGTAGATGAAAGAAAATCGACGAAACGATAGACGAGAGAGAGAGAGAGAGAGAGCGCGCTTTTAAGAACTGGCCACAGGAAGCGAGAGCTCCTGAGTAAGAAAAAACGTTTCTTTTTTTTTTTTTCCGGACAAAATATTTATATCCGTTTCGTAGGAAATATTAAAAATTAAAAATAATAATTAGAATTGCAATCGGAAAAATCACTAAAAAATATTTAACATAAATAATTATTTTTTAAATAGAATTAAGCAAACCCATAAAAATAAAATTGGAAAATACCACTCCTTTTACTGTATTTCCTAATTACATATATAGATTTGTTAGTCTTATGTAACAAGTAATTTCTCATGCTGAACTCTTTTTAATAGAGTTTTCCATTTTACGCACAATCTCTATCTTTCATTTTCAATACATTGTGCCAAACGGGAGCTTAGAGTAAACCCAAAAACGGAGCGTTTTAATGCATGCCCATTTGGAAGGAAGCCGAATGCTTTAAAAATATTTAGATAGGAATTAAATCATGATTTTAAAAATATTTTTACAGTTTATAAAGTAAATATGTAAAGAAGTTTATTTCGTTTTGTGAAAAATGCTTCTGAGAAGCACTCTTAAGGTTACCAAACACCCTTTTTATCTGCATCTTTACCAGACGTTGTGGCTGGTGTGAGATGAGGCAAGCACATAACGAAGCATGGTGAGACAATAAACGTTCGCCGCATGCCACCTTTCCGGAATGGCTTCCATCAACCTCCATTGCTCTTCTGTGGCTTTTCCCACCTCTTCGAAGTGAGCTTTGGTCATTGTTCGTTCTCCTTTTTTGTTTTTTTGTAAATATTTTTCAGATTCTCTTTTGCGATTCGTATCCAATAAATTATGAGGTGCGTCAAGAGACGCCTCGGGAAAGGAGCTAATCATATGGATTATGAATACTGTATCACATTGACCCTATGCTTTGCTGAGCTCTCTACCGATCTGTAATGATAATGGGGGAAAATTACAAACAAATTACAAATTCACGGGAACTTTATGAATTTTAGGAATGGGGAAGATGATGATCTGCTGCCCTGGGCTTCTTACACAGTTGTTACTGAGCCTCTTGGATTTCAAATTTTGGATATGTATGGTTTCTTTCAAATCTAGCACATTTAAAGATTAAACTTGAACCAATTAATAATGTATGGCATTCATGATCATTGCTATTACACATGTAATCGGCTGATTGATTCTTTTCTTCACAAGACAGCGTTGTGCGTTGTGAGCCTCTGCTCAATGGAAAGGGATTCCTCAGAAGATTGGGTTTCAGTTTCAAGGTTGATGATAAAGTGAGGGCTGTGGTATCTGGAGAAGGAGATCTTCCATCTCATCTTGAGCCAGGAAAAGACCGCTTGGCATTGAAAGAGGCGATTGATCCAATACAAATCGGGCAGCAACTAGACACAGTTGTTTTTGGAACACTTTCAGAACAAACGAGTATAACAAGTGGCTTCTATTCTAATATCAATGAACATGATTTGGATCTTCCAACAAAAGGATTTTCGTCCATCCCAGATGCCATCGAAGATATGCGCCAGGGAAAGGTTTATCCCTTTCAACGATTCTGTCCATCAAACCAACCCCCGGGAGGGGGGGGGGGAAGGGGGTTAAATATCCTTCTCGCTAACATGGCTTTGGGATAAATGTGCAGTTAGTTATCGTGGTAGACGATGAAGATAGAGAAAATGAGGGGGATCTTATAATGGCAGCATCAATGGTAACACCAAATGCAATGGCTTTCATTGGGAAGCATGGAACTGGGATCGTGTGTGTAAGCATGGAAGGAGAAGACTTACAGAGGTTGGAACTCCCATTGATGGTGACCCACAAGGAAAATCAAGAAAAGCTCTGCACTGCATTCACCGTGACAGTGGTACCTCATTGTCATTGTCGTTATCTTAATTGGTAATCATGTTACGCCTCCTCGTGACTTGGATTTAAGGAGAAACTGACTGAGGGCAGTGTGAAAAATTGTCTTTTCTTTTTTCAAGTTTATTATTGATTGATGATTTGATTTTAGATACTTATTTAATTGCATACAGGATGCAAAGAAGGGTACTACAACAGGAGTTTCTGCCCATGACAGGGCAGCGACAGTGTTGGCTCTTGCATCAAGAAATTCTAGACCTGAAGGGGTTCTTAAAAGAGCTGGACATACAGAAGCTTCAGTTGATCTTGCTGTTCTGGCTGGCTTAGAGCCTGTAGCAGTTCTATGTGAGATAGTAGACGATGATGGCTCAATGGCTAGGTTACCAAGGCTTCGGCAATTTGCAGAGGAACATAATTTGAAAATCATATCCATTGCTGATTTAGTCAGGCATCTCAGTAACGGTCAAACTTTGATTTTCTCTTATCAATTTTAGGTCTGCACGCTGCCTAATATTTTCTCAGGTCTTCCGGCCTTCTTGGAATATCACTCACCACTAATCAAACTACAATTTGAAACCCTACCCCACAGATCACATAAGGGCTATTGACTTTTCTGAACTTTGAATTCAAGTGGTAGTAGGTACATGATGTCTAATATCTGCATGGCTTAATCTGGCAGATATCGCAGAAAAAGAAATAAGTTGGTGGAGTGTGCTTCAGCCGCATTGATACCTACCATGTGGGGGCCTTTTAAAGCTTATTGCTATCGGTCATATCTGGATGGGATTGAACATATAGCCATGGTTAAAGGAAGCAGGTCACCTAAAATTGACTTCTCATTTTAAAACTCTTATTTATATTGGGCGAAGTTAATATCATACCAGCATTATAGAATCTTCGCGTCCCAATTTGACTTTTATGCATGCTTCTGGCAACCATAGTTTTAATGGAACAGTGGTCCTGTGATAGACTTTAGACACAACCCGAAGGTGTTTCATTTACTTTCTGTTCAAATAATTGAATTGAGATTCAATCATGTCATTATAGCAAAAATTCTAGAAGGTTAGAGTGTTTTGATGCCCGGATTCCTTCTTGTCGCTCTGCGTCATTACTATATGGACTTTTATTTGCAAGTGCTCCAGAGCCACCTTCGTTCTGATGTTTAAGGCAAATTTTCTAAATTTGACCGAAATTCTTTGCAAGTAACCACAGCATGCACTTCATATTAACAGGGTGAGATAGGAAATGGTCGTGATATACTTGTGAGGGTACATTCAGAATGTCTGGTTGGCGACATATTTGGGTCAGCAAGACGCGACTGTGGAAACAAATTAGCAGTTACAATGGAGCAAATTGAAGCGGCCGGTAGGGGTGTCCTGGTGTACCTGCGCGGACAAGAGGGCAATGGTCTTGGCTCAGGCCACGAGCTCCATTCCTATAACTCACAAGAAACGAGTTGAAGACATCTGAAACTAGCAAGGAACCACAGTTAACCGTTAATTCTCGTGAGTATGGCATAGGCGCACAGGTAATGATATCTTCTTCACTTGCCGATCTACGAGACTTGATTTATTGTGGGAACATGAATGTCATTACTTAGCTGATAGCATGATGCAATCTACTGCAGATACTGCGAGATCTTGGTGTTCATAAGGTTAATGACAAACAATCCTGCTGAGTACGTTGGGCTCAAAGGTTATGGTTTGGAGATCACACAAAAAGTCCCTCTTTTCACACCAATAATTACAGACAGCACGAGGCATGTAAAAATGGGCAACATCCTTAAGCCAAATAACGGTCAACTGCCCCTCTGATGATATGTCTCGCACCACATTGATTTGCGGTGGGTCCATTCCAGTGCAAACAGTGCTTCTTGCGATTTGGTATATCTGAAGTTATCAGCACAAGACGGTACTACGATGGGTCACTGTTGTAAATAATTTCGCACCGAGCAAAAGTAAACATCTGTTTTATATAATTCCTTTCTGGCTGTAAATACCAGGATCACAAATTACGTTCAGCTCAAAATAAAGCAGATTCCTTGCCTCAATTTAACGAATTACACCTTTAAACTCGATTCTTTCAGTGACTTTATATTTGCATAGTTAAAAGCTGGAAAATCGTATATTTGAAATGATTTTGATATGTCAAGTCACAAAAAGTATCTACAAGCAATTGCTGTGCCCACTCCAATTCCCCAAGAAAGAGCCAAAGCCAGAATCCATACCAGACTCACCCTTTCTTCTTCATCATCGTCTTCCTTGGAGGACCCTTCATCTTCGTCGGATGTGGCAAATCCAAGAAAAATTTTTCGTTGCAGGTTTGAAACTTGAAACTCAAGCAATCTCACCTGCTGCCGGTAGGCGTATATTTGCATGGCCTCCTTCATTAAAGCATTGGAAAGACAGTCCCTCTCTCTGATCAAACTCGCAGATTTCTTTTCTGCCTCTCTCGCCCGCGTTTGCGATGATCGCAGCGCCTTCATAACCTCCAGGACATCGCCCTTCGCGTCACCATCATTACCGTTATTGACTAATTCGCCGGTATATTCTCGTCTGACCAAAATGTTAGGGGCCCTATGGTTCATGGAGAGCATCACCGTATTATCTGAGCCCTTGAAAACCTTGGATGGCGGAGGAAGATCGCAGTTCTGCATGAGATCGAAGCCCCCGCTTGCAGGCTTCTGCGAAATCGCAAGACCCATCATCTTGTTGGCGACCGCTCTGGGAATCTTTCGTCTCAGGCGTAATACTTGATTACTTTGTTAATGGGCTCGAGAATATTGAAAGTTGAAAAGAAAGACGTAGATGGGGGGTCACGGCCCTGGAGGGTGAGGTTGGTAAAGAGAGAAAAGCGTGTAAATATCGTAATTATTCCCATTTGAATTACGCCATGAGTTGCTTTTATCATATTCATTGTTTGGGAAAAATCTTTGCTTGCGTGTGTCAGCGAATCAAGATGCCACTTATCGAAAAGATTCTTGTATGAGAAGGCTGATATCCTAATAAATGTTGATGTGCCGGGGCAGGAAATTCTTTTTCCTCTTCCTTTTCTTTAAAAACTTGGATCCAAAGGAAATTTGGTTGACACGCAGAAAATCCAGTTTAGATATAGTTTCGTTAACATTTATGAAAATATAAAAATGGGCTGATGTGAATAGAAATACTCTCTAGAACCAAATCACACATATAGATATGTGTGTGTATAAATGGGTTAAGTGTTTATTAATGACAAGGGGCACGTCATATATCTTTCATGACTCATGAATGAGTGCTTATAGCAGTGATGGATAAGAAAGCAAACGCACTGATGGACTTGATTGAAGCCCATAACCTTCCATTTCTCAGTTGCGCTGGGGTTCGCCTTAGGCTGCGCCTTGATAACTGTTTGCACGCGGAGTTTTGAACATGGGGTATTCAGCTGTGAACTGGAACTGTTCCTTCTTTTTTCTTTTTCTTTTTCCTTTTTCGGTTTTTGTGATTCAATTTATGAAGAAATGGGAGCTTTGCCAAGTGTCAAGCGGACGCCTAGTGTTATATCTGACATGAAAGCAAATATTATTTCCAATACTTCATATAAGACTAGTTAACTAATTTGAGTAGATTAAAAAAATCATTAAATTAGTTATTTGTAATAAATATATGTTATCTTTTTTAAAATATCTTCGTTAATCAATTATATTGGTTTGAACTATCATTATTATAAAGACTATCTTTAAAAAAAAATATGAAAGATAAATAAAAATAGGATCTTTATATCTGACATGAAAGCAAATATTATTTCCAATACTTCATATAAGACTTAGTTAACTAATTTGAGTAGATTTAAAAAAATTATTTGTAATAATATATGTTCTTTTTTAAAATTGTATCTTCGTTAATCATTATCTTTATTAAAATTTCGAAATATCAATTGGTTTATAAATCATTACTATCTTTAAAAAAAAAAATGAGAGATAAAAATAAAATAGGATCTTATATTAAAATTAAAATAAAATATTAAACAAAATTTTATATTAAAAATTACAACATAATAGTATTAGTATTTGACAGGTATCAAACAGTGAACGATCGGGCTTGCTCGCTGAGCAGCATTGCCCCTCAATGTGTGACAAGTGGATCTACTTATGACGTTGGTAAATGTCTCTTCGATGTTACCCGACCATGTGATACCCGACATGTGAAGGATAGTGAAACTCTTAGTCTGCAACCAGGGCCCCCCATCTTCGTCCACATCAAGCAATTTTGATTTTGACATAAGTTCTTATTTCTCAAATTTCTTTTTATTTAAAATGTTAATTTTATAATTTAATAAAAATTTAAAACATTTTACTATTTGAGTGATCAAAATTTATAAATTGAAATTGAAATTAAAATGAGAACTACTTAATTGACGAAATATTATATTAACCTATATTTAAACAACCATCAATAGCTAGTTACCTGTTTTGGACAGTGAAGTTTCTTCATAAGATTAGAGTATTCTGAAGGGCATTTGGTTTTTGCTTTGCAAGTGTGTGTACATGCGTTCTTGATTTGGATTTAAACTTGAGCAGTCATCCTGCGGTTACAAAAACGAGTCCATGTCATCAAGATATGAGTAAAGACGCCAAGAAAGGGATCCGTCCATAAATAACCATGCATAGCGACAAGTGGCGGGTGATTTCCAGCTCAGATGGCATCATTGCTTTGATTTATTCCTTGTCTAAGTATACTTTTTGATAAATTATAATTATTTACCACTTTTGGAATCCTTATGTGGCTCTTAAGGGATAAATTATACCAGTACAACTCCTACGACTGGAGCAGCATTATTTCACTCATGTGCGTGTATGTGTTTGGCAAAAAGCAAAGAACCTCTTGAGAACTCTCTGCCCATTACTTGGAAACAATTTTGGAGGGGAACAAAGGTAGATTTTGCTTATTTTTGATAAAATGATGGTCATATCTAGACGAATTGAAGTTCTTGGCGGTAACAAAGACGTCAGTTTCTAGATAAAAACTAGGGTTAAGGTGCGCTCGGCACTCCGAACTATTTTCTCAGGTGCATCCAGTGTCCCAAATTAATTAAAACGGTGCATCCATATCCCGGGCTAACAGAAAAGTTAAGTTTGACTGTTAGTTGACCGAAAAATCTGATGCGACGGATACGTAGGCATCTGATGTGTATTATCTTGACGAGTTAAGGTGCGCCCAGTACCCTGAACTATTTTTCCAGGTGCGCCCAGTGTCATAAAGTAATTTTTGGTGCATCCAGTGTCCCAAACTAATTAAAATAGTGCGTTTACATCCCAGGCTAACAGAAAAGTCTCGTTTGACCGTCACCTTGTTGATTCAGCTGAAGGTTGATCGAAAAATCTTACATGACAGACACGCAGGTGTCTGATGTGTATTATTTTGACTGAAAATTCAATTTATTTCTTCCGCTTCTAACATTTATCTTCTACCAATTTTTAAATTTTAAAAAAAGAAAGACCACTGATCTACCCTCTCAAATCCTGGTATATGTACCACCCATTCCGATTTGAAACCACAACTGCTGTCACAGGCTCACAGCACACTTCCATCTTCATCTCTGTCGACTCTTCATCCGACTCGCATTTGCTTTCTCCTCGTAGAACACAGTAAACTTCCCCTTAATCACTCCATCGACATTGTTGTTGCCTTCTAAGAAAACACCCACCGCCACGGGGCTCGTCTCGGGAGTTTTAATCAAAATAATACACATCAGATGTTTGCGTGTCTGTCATATAGGATTTTTCAGTCAGCCTTCGGCTGAATCAGTAAGGTAACGGTCAAACGAGACTTTTCTGTTAGCCTAGGATGTGGACACACCGTTTTAATTAGTTTGGGACATTGGATGCACCAAAAATTACTTTAGGATACTGGGCGCACCTGGAAAAATAGTTCAGGGTGCTGAGCGCACCTGGACTCATCAAGATAATACACATCAGATGCCTACGTGTCCGCCACGTCAGATTTTTCGGTCAACTAACGGTCAAACTCAAGCCTGAGATATGGATGCACCATTTTAATTAGTTTGGGACACTGGATGCACCAAAAATTACTTTAGGACACTGAGTGCACCTGGGAAAATAGTTCAGAGTACTGAGTGTACCTTAACCCTAAAAACTATCCATTGTAAGTTATGACATACATCCAAATCGCAACAAAATATATAGAAATTCATCCTCTATGCAGCTTCCGCCCTCCTCCTTAAGAGCCTTCTCACTTTTCGCTTCTTTTGTTTTGTTTTGTTTTTCAAAATGCGTTTCAATGAACCTTTTCTTATCATTCCTTGATTCGTCAAGTATCTGTCTCCAGCCTTTATTTTTCCTCGCACTTTCTTGCTTTATACGCCACCCCTGAAACTGTGTCGTTGTTTGTTTATTGTATATTTAGACAGATGTCTCCTTTTTATTACTTTAATTTGCTAAGGGCTGTGCATCTTTTAAGCTTCAACTAGCAATTATCCCCGCAGGCTGCCCTGTTTGATTTATTTCTTTTTATTTATTTATTTATTTATTTTTATATAAGTATAAATGGGTACTTCAAGAGATCTAATGGTGCATTACAAACGACATGTGAATAAAATAATTAAGTGGAAGCTTACCAACAAAAAAAAATTAAGCGGAAAAACTTAACATTGTCAACTGGAATAAGAACTTTCACCAATAAAAAATATGAGTGAACACAGGAATCTGAAAAGCATGGAAAGCGAAGACTCATCTGATATGAAAACAATTCACGTTCAGGGTTGAAATCCTTTCGCTCTGTGCCTATATGTTTTGGAAGACTTGTCTATAAGCTCCATTTGTTATAGACTCATAGTTGACATAGGCATCTTACCTTAGCTATGGGCAAGAATTTTCAAGCCATTCATATTTTATGCTCTTAGCTTTGGACAGCGAATCTCGTGTGTCTCTTTCGGTCTATCGTCCTTCTTGAGTGCATTACAAACCTTTTGATTTCCTTTGTAAAGGATAGTCTGTTGATTTGAAAGATAGCTTTAGTTGTTCAACTGAAGGATAACACCTCAAAAACAAATACGCGCCATGCTGCTTCAGAGGAAGATATGTACCATGTAATGAAATCATAGCAGTGTCTTATCTCATCAGAATCTGCCGGAGGGTTTCTCGGATATTATTGTACGACTTCCTTTGGCCTTTACCCCCATTACGTTACCTCTGTACGACAGAAAGGTGAGCCTACGGATAATTGAACCTCAGTTGAAAAATACGTAGGTTGGCCCAAAAAAAAGGCGCAAAAATGGAGAGAAATGAAAAGAAAGAATCTTTATCCCCCCGTTTATCGCAGACACAACTTCAACTCCCCTCTGAATTCGGAATTCTCGAATTAGCCTTCTTTAGCTGCGCTGTCGTCAATTTTATTCAGATAAAAGAGAGAAATCACCTACCACAAACCGGGGAAGGAAGAAAAAACATGAAGTTACAGCCAGACAGAAAGGGCTCAGTGTTTAAGGCAAGGAAGAGGGACAAGAAAGGTTTAAAGCATCTAGCTTCTATAAACAGCAAAGTTGCGCGGACGGTCGTCTCTGAAGTACAATAATTAGAAGCAGAGGAGGCTGATCAATCCTTTAGAGCAGTGACAACGATGAGGAGGAGGTGTTGAGCCTAGAGAGCATTCCATTTTTCCTTTATTCTTTTTGTTGCTTGCTGCATTCGAACTTATACCCTGTCCAATATGGATGTAGCTTTCACCGTTTCGCCGACTTCATCCAACTATTCTCTCAAAGTTTTACCCTTTTCTGTCCAACCAGTAAAAGACTTGATAAAGATTTAATTTTTTTTAAAAAATTGCTGTTCCTACTTCCTACAAGCACCTCCAAATCTCCAAGCAAAGTTTCTTTTCTCTTTCTTTCTAATCATTTCTCTTTTCAGATTACAAACTATATGTGAACGCTTTTTCTTTGCTTTTTTCAGTTTCCAAACACAAAATTATTCCTTTCTTCTTCTTTTTTCAATGGCCTTGGTTTTTCTGGACTATGATTATTGTGAGAAGTAATCCCAAAACCAAATGATAATTTTATGCTTGTTTGCAAAGTTGAATTTGGTATCAATTGGCTGTTAAGGAAGGAATTATCCAGATTCATCAAGTAGGACTTTTGGGGGATTGAATAACCTTCCGTGCTTAATTGGGGCTTCTCATTTTCGTATGAAGGATTTTGCCCAGTCGCTTTCTGGAGGATTTTGTGGCCCGCATTTTTTATGGAACTTGTTTTTACCAAAGGGGCATGCGCATTCCTACTCTGTTGTTGGCTCTTCACTTCAGGAGTATACTCGGGTAAATTTCTGTAACTTGAATTTTTTTCGCCTAATCTGGTAGTGATCTTTCTGAATGGATATAATGCCGTAAACCGAGTAGCTTACTTGTTTCTCTCTTTGAAGTGGAAGGGTTGCATGGGGATTCCAAAGTTAGAGGTGTGAATTTAGGAGGGTGGCTGGTTATTGAAGGTTGGATTAAGCCTTCATTGTTCGATGGCATTGCCAATGAAGACATGATTGTGAGCTACTGAATATTCTGTATATCCATTTTCTATTCTGTAGTCGGTCCTTCAGGGGTTTCTGATTGATCGGGCTGAACAATAAGTTGATATTGGTAATGTAGGATGGAACGCAGATACAACTCAAGTCAGTGACCTTGCAGAAGTATGTATCTGCTGAGAATGGGGGTGGCATGAATGTTTCAGTTGACAGAGACGTCCCATCTTCATGGGAAACCTTTACGGTAAGATTATAGTTATTTCTTCGTGTATTAACAGTCTATGCAAGCATCATACCATTTGAGTTTTCACCTGATTTTGATGAGTAATAATGATATCAGCGGTCAATCCAACAATACAGTCTGTAGTTGAAACTCTCTCTCTTTGTCAATGGTTGAATTTTTCTTATTTTCGTTTCCTCAGGTTCCATTCTAAGAATGAAATTTATCTGAGGCTGTAGCATTTCAAAGTTGTTGCTTGTGAGCATCTGGCGAAGATTATACGTTTTAAAATAGGCATACTGGCTATTATAGTTCTGCATTTACACTGGAATTCTACTTAACGCCATCGGTTTGAATTTGTAATATCAATCAGTTTTAAAGTTTCTTGCTGCTTGTGCCGACTAAAGTGTCCTATTGCAACTGACCTGGTTGACTCCTAAGAACAAGTGATACTGAGAAAAAACACACAATGAACAGTGCTTATCTTCGTAGTGAAAATCAAACAAGACCTGCCAAGAATAAGAATAGGCTGCTTCAAATGTCAAAACAACCAATAAATCCTTGTCATGGGAGATGAAGTTTACTCTGTCACTTGGATCATTTCTTAACTGCTACAAGGCCATCAGTCTTTGTAAGTTTAAGTGCACTAGACAACGGCAAAAGGATGAAGTTCTAGTCTGGCACCAAGTGGTACCAACAAAAATAGGGGTTGGATTAAATATTCCCATCCCTCATTCTCTGTAATTCATTTTCAGATACTTTTAGGATTCAATACTGAGGGAAGCACTGATTGACCAGCTGTTCACCAGGACTATCAAGTGGCGAGATGGTTTTTGTTGGAAGTAATTGGAATTTCTGTGTCATTGACCGAGGAATTGGTTTTATGTGGTGCTATCCTAATAGAGAATAATTGTATGGTAGTAGCCGTGACTATGCTCTCATTTTCACTTTTCTTTCTTCACATGCTGTTATACTGCATTATTTTATGCATAGTTAAACAAAGAATAAGCGTCAGTGACTTCAGCAGGGCTTCAAACAGAATGATAATATTGTGAATTTTGAAGTTATGCTACAGTGATGTATGAGAATAGTCTAGTCCAATAATTGCATCTTTTCCTGTTGCAGTTGTGGAGGTTGTCAGAATCTGAATTTCAATTTCGCACCTCCCTAGGCCAATTTTTAACATGCAATGGTGACGGGTGCTCTGTGTCTGCAACAGCAAAATTACCTTCAACATCGGAATCATTTTCCATTGAACGGAAAGAGTATAATAGGGTTCATATTAAAACTAAGAATGGGGCCTATCTGCAGGTATTGATCCTCTTGCATTTGTGCTTGAAGATATAATGAAAAGCAACTATTTTTGGTTCCATTCAAAATATGATCATGTGTTATTATAGCATTCTTCTGGCATGTTTATCAGGATAGTAGATTTAAGATGGTAGAACAATGTTGTTTGGAACAGTACCTAAACTGTTCATCATGGAATCTACCATGCAAATTCTTTTTCACCAGGCTCTGGGATTAGGGGGTGTCTCAAAATCATTAAATATTGCTGTTGTTTTTCATTTCTAGTCCAATCACGCTGCAACATATTTTGTTAATTTTACTGTTACGGAATGCTTGTTACAAATGACTCTGTTGCACATTGATTATAGACTCTAAGATAAGCTAGATTGTCAGGTATAGGTATTTCATAGTTATCTGGCATTCATGGCTTTTACCTTCCCTTGTGGCCCTGATATATTGTTCAAATCTCTAGTATTTTCTTTATGCATCAATACTATATTAGGCTATGTTTGAAATGCCATATGGAATTGTTTTACCTTGTAAACCGTCATAGTGATATCAGACTTCAGTCAAATTACCCTGATATATATATACTTGATATTTATAGGCTACAACAGATGGTCAGCTTACAGCAGACTATCCACATGTGCCAGGATGGGATGATAATGATGCCACATTTGAAATGACAATTGTAGCAAATCTTATACATGGAGATTACCAGCTAGCAAATGGATATGGTCATGACCGTGCGAAAGAGGTTCTCAAGGTAGGACCACACGTAGTAAATATGTTCTCTTTACGGTCTATCACTATCCAGGGGTCAAATATACTTTTGATGCAGCCGTGTTACCTAGCAGTGGAATATGCATGGTTTTATAATTATTCATTTGGGGGTCATTGATGGCAAAGGGTAAACATCATAGTGTTTGGAATAGCATTATTTATTTATTTTATGTCGTACATAGGAAATATTTAACATTTTAAGCAATGAACCCTATTTTATTATGAATGTCACTCTCCATGTATTTCTTTATAGCTTCTCCTCACCCCATTTATTTAGCTCATGAAGTCAACGTCTTTGTACGTATGGGCATTTTTTTTTAAATTCTTATGGTGCCATTTATATAAGCATCCTCTTTGGATTTTGCATGTCCAGAAACTTTCTGTATCTGCATATTTCCCACTTGAGGTTATGTGTAGAATTTCTAATTCAGAAAGATGAAACAGCAGTCTTTCTTCCCATTTGATCCTTTGTCCTTCTGCAACTGCAGAGACATAGAAATAGCTTTATCACCATAGAGGATTTCAACTTTCTGCATAGACATGGAATCAATACTGTGAGGATTCCAGTTGGTTGGTGGATTGCTTTTGATCCTGATCCTCCAGCTCCGTTTATTGGAGGAAGTCTTGAAGCTTTGGACAATGCATTTTCATGGGCGCAGTTGGTCTTTCCTTCACTGTATTTTGTTAATATTGAGAGCACCTTTGGAACTGTCTGTATTTGACAATTTGCATTGTTATCATGCTGCAGAGAGTATGACATAAAGTGCATAATTGACCTGCATGCTGCTCCTGGTTCCCAAAATGGGATGGAACACAGTGCAAGCAGAGATGGATTTACGGGCTGGCCCACAGATCCAGATTACATTACGGAGACATTACATGTTATAGATTTTTTAGTTTCCAGGTATCTTCTGGGTGTGAATGAAATATCCTAATACTGGACTATAATTTCCATGTGCTTCAGAATTTTGATAGGAGTTCAATATTTCATGCTCACCCCTAGCCTGCCTGCTGATTGTGAATTCGTGAACATGGATTAACATGCTGCACACTAACATGCCTTCTAACAAGTAACTCTCCAGAAAGACATTTTTGATAACAAATGAACAATACTTGGAATTTGAGTAGTATGTGGAGACTAATAGAGTTGGAAGCTCCATTCCACCTTACCTGGGTGTGAAATAAAGTCCCACTTGTATGCGGCCATCCTTTTCTTTAGTACTTGGATGCTGAATGCAATACCCTTCTTTACCGGATACTGTAGCTTTAGGGTTATGCAAATGCCCGGTGAGTTTGTTGTCACACTGTAACACTGATTTTCATTTGCAGATATGCCAGACATCCTGCTTTGCTGGGAATTGAGCTTTTGAATGAGCCATCAGCTGCCACTGTTCCATTGGATATTTTAGTTTCATATTACAAACAAGGCTACCAAATTGTTCGGAAATATTCATCATCAGCTTATGTAATAGTTTGCCAAAGAATTGGCAATGCTGATCCTATGGAACTTTATCAAGCTGACATAGGCCCTCACAACGTGGTTGTGGATTTGCATTTCTACAATCTCTTCGACAATTTTTTTGTTAACATGAGTGCCGAAGATAATATCCAATTCATATACAAAAGCAGGGAAGCTCAACTGCAGGCTTTGAACAATGGGAGTGGCCCTCTTGTTTATGTCGGTAAGTTGAGTCTCAGCATGTGACAGTGAGCACAGACATTAAAAGTTATTTTATATTTTCTTGAAGAAGGAACCTTAACTTGACAGGGAAGTGATTTTCAGGAGAATGGGTTAATGAGTGGAACTTGACGAACGGATCTCAAAAGGATTACCAAAATTTTGGAAAGGCACAGTTAGAAGCATATAACGCAGCTTCCTTTGGATGGTCTTATTGGACACTAAAAAACGACAGGAAGCATTGGGATTTTGAGTGGAGCGTGAAGAACAACTATCTTCAATTCGGTAAGAGTTTTAGATTCCTGTCTTTAAGTTTTGAGCAGTAACGAGATTGGCATCAAATATGGTGGTGATATTAATGCAGGTAACTCGCCCAGCGTACAGAATTTCAACAGCCTAGGATTTTTAGGATTGGCGTGTGCATGGTTTTGTTTTCTTCCTTATTTATGACTGGTCGAGCCTGAGTTCTGCACAATCTATATCTTCGAGGCATGGATTGATGCTGCTCTTTCCGGCGGATTTTTTTTCCCTTTTTTTTTTTTTTGGAAGTCGCCATCATATTGTCTAAAAAAGAAGCGAAAAGGCAAATTTTTCTACCTGTAGTATCATCTCATGCAAATATAGTCTGTACTCCCCTGATTCATGAAATCGCCTTTCATTAATCAATATGTGAAGTTTCTTCATGGCCTGACCAAACTGTAAAATATTCCCACAGAAATATCCACCGAAGACCCGAAATATGAAAGTTGCAGAACCTATGATTAAAAAAAGCAAGCTGGGGATCTAAGGGTGTGTTTGGTTTGTAATTTGACAGAAGTCCGTTTGCCGAAAGTTAGTTGTTATAGCTTGTATGAAAAGAAATTAGTAATTATAACCAGATATAATGAAAATGTTTAAATAATATGAAAAATATGTATTCAGTAGCATATATCATAAAAATATGTGAATAACTTTGATATGTTGAAAACATATAATAAAAAAATAAATAATATAAATTTTGATACGTTAACTAATAAAAATATAAAAGATATAAATGATGTAAGGTTTAAATGCTTCCATTTGCAGAAGGGCCAACAAGGCAAAATGATGGTTAAAAATCTCAACTCCCACACGTAAAATGTTAAAAAAAAAAATCAAGCAATTTGAAAATGGACTTCTGGTGCTCATATGAATAGACTTTTAGAATGCACATTAAAAAATAAAAATAAAATGCTACCAAACAACATTTGCCAAATAGACATTAGCTAAAAGAGGTTTTGGAATCGCAAAAAGTCCTATCTGAACACAAAATAAACTGCCATTATAATCTGCAAAAGAAATCAAAACAGAACAGCAAAATACCAATTGAGTGCTAGTTTTTAATTTCGACTGCTGAGAGTATTATATAGGATAAACCTGAATTTTGCGAACCCATCTAGAGCCACTTTATTCTTTCTTCAACAACCTAAATTCTGATTAACTTTATTAATTAGTATTGAAGGTGAAACGATAATGTATTCAAAACCGAAGTGGTGCTTTCAAAATGGAAGACTGTTGATTCAATTAAAATCCAATTTTGGAGGGCTTCGTGTCCCTCTCAGATGAAGCGACATCAAGAATCAGAAGCAACTCATACAAAGTAGATTTAGATGCCCATTTTAAAAATTAGCCCCACGTAGTTTAATATATCTTCCACGCTTACTTTAGCGCTTAATTGTCATCCTTCAAAATTAAAGATTTAAAAGGACCCAATCATGTTATTTCCTTTTGTTCTCTCTCATACATAGTTTTTTAATCCTTCTCTCTATTTTCCTTAAAAAAGAATCTAAGCATAATCCACCTGTATTAGATTGTATCACTCTATTCTGTGCTGTTTGTTAACCGACTGGTCCATAATTACTATTAATTAACGCAACTATGAAGAATTTTATATAAAGTTTTTTTAATATCTTACCATGATTGTTTCTGTTCTTCTAAATGTTACTCCTAATATTATTTATTTACTAAACAACTCAACACCAGTTGCATAAAATAAAATAAAAACTTTTCAAACAGTAGCATCTATCAACCATATTTATATGAGAAATCCCAAAACATAATAGCTCATGAACAAAGCAATTAGCAGCGAACAACGTCATTACGGTCATAATCAAGAGGTAAGCATTGTTCCTTTTTGGCCAACAGAGGTAAGCATAGTTCAGAATTACGTCTATTTGTCCGGTCATCACAATCCCACATCACGCAATTTGACCCAATTGACTGTTACATATGGTAATCAAAAGTCAATAACAGTTTTACAACTTGACACTTGGCATCAACAATACAAAACTCCCAAAAATTAGTAGTTCTTGCGTTCCAAGTACCAAAAGGAGAGGAAATGGAATGATTTGTGTAGTAGGAGCTCAAGTGCCTTCCCCCTGTCACAGGAATTTTCATCTGAAATATACATGGTGAATAAGGATGAGAGATGAAATCTCAATAACTGGAGAAAAACTTCTAAACATACTTATCGTTAACAAATTCCATCACGACCTTACCAAACATAAAAGTTAAGGATTCTATACCCTGGTCACATGTGTACTTGTCCTCAGACAAAGGGGAAAAAAAAAAGCTTCATGTATTGAAGTAATGGAGTTGAATTGGCTCAACAGTAATCCCCTGATGAGAATCTTTCTTAGCCATGAAATGAAAAGTAGGAGTATGATTAATAAATTGTGATATGAAACAGACGGGGGTAGCCGAAGCATGCAGTGGTATATGTTGGTATTGAAGTAGTGAAAACATCTTCCACAAATACCCAAGAAAACAGAAACTATGATGTCCTGTGCCTACTGAATCAAATAGTAGGGGACGCCACCATATATATAATGAGTTAGCTTGAATAACGCTCACTCAGTAATCAATTTCAAACATGCTTGTTCCTTATTACTAACACTTTCGGCCATCCACCGTATCTTAACTAACACTAGTATGCACTTTCGGTGAAAAATGATACTATCTGTGGTCCTAATTATAAAACCTTTATAATTTACAAATAAGATTTTATAATTAGGATTGGAAGAGGTAGTATTAGAAAAATATCTTTCAAGCAAATTAAAGAAGATCATTTAAGACAACGACCGACTACTACACCAAGGAAAATCTGCATAATCTTTATACGCATCGACAATTTGCATAGGAAGAGGAGAATGAAAAAAGCCAATAATATCTATGGGCTTAAATAAAAGTATCTCCTCCCGTATGAACTCAGCATGATCGAAGGATATATAAAGCTATGCTATACAATTAAGCATAGCTCAAAAAAAAAAGAAAAGAAAAGAAAAGTAAAGGAAACTGTAGTGGCATGGGATCACCTAGAGCGAAAAAAGAAAACACTAAGCTCTTGACCAGTAGTGCTTCCTTCGGGATCAATTAAGTGGAAAGATTCAGAGTTAGAGGAACCTCGAACTCGTCGAAACTTGGCTCTGAGGTACATGAGCTCATTCTGTTTTATGGTACCAGCACCCACAACTACAGAACGCATCACGCTCAAAGCTTCTAAATCGCTATTTGAAGGCGTGCGTTTAACAGCATAACCCATCTTCTTGCCGTTGCAGTGAACGCCCCACAACGGCGTCGACAAAAGGTTGCGGTAAGATGCAGGCGTGGCGCTCTCTAGAGCCATTCTCAGTGTTCCTCCTCTCATTTCTCTGGCCAAAGTCTTCGTTGTGACTGGTAATTCGAGGAGTAGAACTTGATTCGGAGATTGGGGGTTGAGCTGAATGCAGAATTTGACTTTGCCTCTCCGATATCCGAATATGGTGCCGGTGATGGTGGAGGTGAGGAGAGGGAGGTGAATGTAGTTGTGGGGTTTGAGATCATGGCGGTCGTCGTGTTCTAGGAAGGTGCAGCTGCAGGTGGGGATTAGGAGTTGGAGCAGAGAACGTAGGAGCCTCCATGAGCGCACTTGTTTGTGGCAGTCCACAGTGGTGATGGTGGTGGCGCCCACGGTGGTCATGTCCATTGCTATATATGGATATGCCTTCTGCTGGGCTGCCTCTTGCCACCTCGTGTGGATGCCTTATATAGCGCAGCATGCACCAATAAGTCATCTTGATTTATTTATTTTTTAGTTAAAAAAAAAAAAATCTCATCTTACAGTTCACTCCACTTCTATAGCAAAATTCCACGCTCATGGTCATAGGATCATAAAGGCATCTTAACTTTTAAAGCCTCAACGGCCTTGCCTATGTTCTTCGAGCCAGCCCTCTCTTTTGAGTATAAAGTAGCTTTTTTTTTTTTGGGGATGAAGTATATTTATTCAATTTATTCTAAAGGGTTAAATTGATGGCTGTTCCACTGATGATTTATCCTCGAATTATTTAAATTATATTCCTCAAAATATTTTGTGTGTGTTAATTGATTCAATACACGAGGTAATTAATTTTAGTAAAAGCAAAACATGAGAAAGAACCCAGAAGCAGGCTACCCTGCAAGAGCGAGACTTGCCCACACGCCAAACCCGCCACATCCCCCTTCAAGAGCAACCTGGCTAATCCTCTGAAGAGTGTGTGTGTGTGTGTGTTTAATGTAGGACTTCTTTCACATTAAGATTATATATATGTTTACTAGGCAGCTTTATTGAGTATTTAATGACATACATATGTTATAACGAACTAAGGAAAATCAATGCCACGCATTAATGTTCAGAATGTGAAACAAAAAGCCGCGAAGCCCGGTTATGAGAGAATGAGTGTCATTACCCAGCTCTAGTTCGTACTATCTTTATTCCTCCATTTCTTTATAGGTTTGTTAATTATTTAACATATACTATGAGTCCCCAAAGATTAAAAAACACACAGCCCACACTATAAGCATGTATAATAATTTCTGGTGTTCTATAGTTTCCATCTTAAACGGTAAGGAAGGAGGACATGACATTGATCACCTCGAACCTTTACACTGAATTCTCTCAGAGGTATTGAAAGCACCATAATCAAAACTCCAAATTTGGGGAGCATGTAAGATAAGTTCCACAAATTTAGAAAGAGATGGATGATTTGTGGAAGATGATCAGACTGTCCTCTCAAATAGTACTTATTTATTTATTCAGAATTAGGAGGAAATAGATGAGGTGGAGACTGGAGAGGTTGGCCAGATAAGAAAAAAAGAGAAATGGAGAGTTCCGTACCACCATATTGTAATAGCCCATCATCTAATGATTAAGCCATTAGATTTTGCGACACAAAGCTCCAAATATACAACTGTTAAACTTGGATTGAATATGGCCATCTCTAAGCACAACACGAATATATATTCAGGGGATTCTTGAAGGCACTTTTGTCTCAATAATTCAGAAGACACTACTTCCTCGATTTTTAAGAGAAAAGGCGAAGCACTAACCAAAATTAGGAGTGTTATTAAGCGAAGGAGGCATGTGAAAGGAGCAGAGCGTGGTGTGTGGAGGAAGCCAGAAAAAGTGTGCTTCCCTTTTTGCTTTCTAGCCTGTTCCCCCCCACTCTTGTCCCTTCCACTACACTTCATACACACCTTCATTTTCTTCGTTCTTTCTTCGTCTTGTTTCTTTCCCTTTTCTTTCTAGACATATGGGGTCTATGCAGTTTACTTTTTCATTATTTTCACAGCTCATCAACAAGAATGAATATGTCCAAAGGTTAAAAAGATTCAGGTGCATGTCAGTGTCAAAGAATGACCATGGACACGAGAAGAACACGAGGCAGCATCCATATGCGGTAGTACGTAGAATAGAAAAACACTGACACTGAGCAGCGTGAAGTTTTGTTTAAGAATGTCAAATTTTGCTTTGGCACTGTTGGGTGAAATCCAGAAGCGTGTGGCCAAAACCAGAAAGAAAAAGAAGAAAAGAAGGAGCCCATAAATAGATTGGCATGTAGTGAAAATTAGAGCATAGAGTGGCTTTTGTTTCTTGTAGCTATATTTAGCACATGGACGTACACCAGACAAAACTGGGTGTGCCGACTCGCTGTCTGGGTTCTTGTGTCACCATTCCAAATACCCTATGGATTTTGACGGATACAAAAGAAGAGCACGTTTCCTTTCATTGGCTGTCATGGATACTCCTTTCTTTTCGGTAATGTGGGGTTTTACTTTGATCTGTAGATATTCAGTTTTATTTTTCAAAAGACAAGCGTGATAATGTCCTAATCCTCAGCGACATGGAGACCTGCTGGATTAGACTGCAATGTTGGCACTTTGTCAAGTTGGACGACACGCAGTGGCACATTCTTTCTTGTTGTTTTGTTGTCATACGGATCCTAATTAAAGCGTGATATTTATCTCATTTCCTTGGACACTCACGAACGCGTTCTGTTTGTATCTTGATGCAGGTCCAACCCATTCTGTACGCGAATCGAGCCCATTGCTTTAGTAGCGTAACTGTAACCCGAGAAACTATCTTACTCTCTCAGGTCAAGACTCATCGCATATCCAACCAAGAAGTCAAAACAGCACATTACGAGGAAATGGTAGCAGAAATTAAGAGGGTTAAGAAGCTTCTTTGAACAGCTTTTCTCTTTTCAAACGGGGTGGTTTAAGGTCAAGCATCTTAACTTGTATATGCTGCGGGCAGTTAAAGAGAGATCACGCTCATTCATGGCTCGAATCCGCTTTGTACTTTGGGACGATCATAGTACTTTGCAAGGTCCAAGTAGGTCATACCCGTAAATGGACTAAGACCATGGAATTGATTAAAAAGGGAAGATATTTTAGATTAAGCTGGATATGTTGGCTTCATTGCCGATCAGAGGATGCCGGTGTGAACGGGCTCGTAATGAGGCCCTGAGGTTTAGCTGCTTGCTTCTTTGATGTCCCAAAGGACCCACTTCTTGCTGACTTTATTTTCATTTTGTTCATTAAATTCAGAATTTGCCATGCCTTTTGGGGAGCCCCTCACTGTTGTTTAATCTTTCTTTTCAGTTTGACAACCTCTGCTGTTTAGCCAGCTGACTCCGATCACTATTCACTAAATAATTAGTCTTACAGGAAACCCAATTCCTTTTTTTTATTTCTTTCGTGCGCGAGTTACACATTGTTATAAGCCACCTTTGACCGATTCCAATCAATGTGAATCAATGACACCCCAGTTAATATTAGTCTAAGACATATTTCATATATTTATCAATTTTTTTTAAATTGAATCATATTAATATTTCCTAAACAATAATCAAGTAGCAGAGGAAGAGAAAAAAATTAAAAAAAATAATTAAAGTGTTTTAAAAAAAATCATATTACTAATTTAACTAACATTTTTAATTTATTTAAATTAGTTAATTAAATATTATATTAAGACAATGAAAGAGCATATGGAATCAATTATCAGTTTACAAGTCTTCCCCGTCATTTATTAAATTGTATATTTTTCATTTTCAAAATTCAGACACTTTTCTTCTGAATCTCGTTAGAACTAACCAATATTTTCAAAAACTTCAAAATTAAAAGTTTTATGTAATTCATTTTATTCAGAAAAAATTGGAGACAAAAATTTACCATTGATCGAACCCTGACGAGAAGCAATTTGTAGTGCGGCATGAGGCTTTGAAAGTTTGGTTGACAAGCAAAGGATGAACCCAAAGATGGAGATCAAAGGCCATCCAGAGGTACGGTGACATTGATTTGACTTCACCGCTGAATCATAGAGATGGAGTCGCACTTGATTATTAATCCCACCAGGTCAGCCGCTGTCTTTGCTCTTTACTGCTCTTAATTGAGTTAATCCTCTTGCAGCCATCATTGCTCTGTGCGCCACCAAAGACACTTCATGGCGAAGCTGAGGGACCTCATAGGGGCGATGAAGGACAAGGCCTCACAGGGCAAAGCTGCCTTGCTCTCCAAACGTGCCACCCTCTCCCTCCTACGCGCCACCAGTCATGACTCCTTCACTCCTCCAACTCCTAAACACCTCTCCACCCTCCTCTCCTTAGGCGACGGTTCACGCGCCACCGCGGCCCCCGCCATCGAAATCCTGATGGACCGCCTCCAGAAAACCCACAACTCCGCCGTCGCCCTCAAGTGCCTCATCGCCGTCCACCACATCATCAAGCACGGCACCTTCATCCTCCAGGATCAGCTCTCCGTCTACCCTGCCTCCGGCGGCCGAAACTACCTGAAACTCTCCAATTTCCGAGACAACAGTAGTCCCATCTCGTGGGAGCTATCTTCCTGGGTTCGATGGTACGCCCAATACATGGAGCAGGTTCTATGCAGTTCCAGAGCCCTGGGTTTCTTCCTGGGATCAAATTCTTCATCCGACGCAGAGTCGCAAGAAGAGAGAGTGTCGGGTCTCATGAACGCAGATTTGTTGGGAGAGACGGACGCTTTGGTGGCACTGATCGACGAAATCGGAAGAAAACCGGACTGTGGATCCACGAAGGGGAACAGATTAGTGGAAGAGATAGAGAATTTGGTGGGCGAGGATCGGGCTTCGATAATGAAAGAGGTGTGGGTGAGAGTGAAGGAATTCAGAGAGAGACTGGGATGCCTGAGCTTCGGGGAAGCGGTGGAATTGGTTTGTGAATTGAAGAGAATGGAGGAAAGTAAAGAGATGAGGACGATGGTGGCGGAACAGAACTTCTGGGACGCTGTGAGCGAAGTGAAGGAGAAGGCTAACCTGGAGGTTCTCAATCAAGATGTTAAGGCGTACAAAGCCGTGAGGAGACACAGGGCCAGCGAATCAGATCGGTTTGCGAGGTCAATTCTCAGTTCTGCTGATTATCTCCGATTTCCCTCCGGAAGGTTATTGTTGTAGTTATGGAAACTGTTTTCCTCCTTTTGGTGGGGATCGTGATTTACATATTACAATTGCATATAAGCTTCATTTAATTGAGAAATTAATTATCCTTGTGTTAGCCACTGGGTTCTGGAAAATTTTCTGGATTTGATTATCTGCACAGAAACTATGCTGGATGATACGAAATAAGCACGCGAATCCAAGACGAAGATGGAAGTTGTGCATGGGCTGCGTCCGGACGAAGAGGGAATTTTCTGCTAACCAACCCGTAATCGCTAATTAAAAGGTGCATCCCATGTGAAGGCCACTCGTATGGAACCACAAACTACGCAATTTACTCGTATTAGATAAGTTTTTAGGAGAGCAGACAAATGTTGCGAGTCAACAGGCCGACACAGGTGCAGTTGAGTATAGTAGGGACAGCTAATAACTGGAAGTCATCCGGTGCGGAAATAAGTACCTTAGACAAACTGATTTTTGGAGAGCTCAACTTATCCATTATTTATTGACCTTAGTGTGTTTGCATTTATAGTGATAGAAATTGCTTTACCTAATCATTGTTCGTGTGCTTCCCATATTCAGAATCCTTCAAATCTTGTCCGTTTAAATTAGCACAGCCTTTTACTGATTTGGCTGTGTTATTTTATTTACCTAAGCCTTTAAACATTTGAGAGGCAAAAAAAAAAAAGAAGACTTCTGATGCTTTTTTCCTTTTATAATTGAAGAAAGAAAAAAGAAATGAAGATGAATTTGGACGCTCCAATTATTATTCAACCGCAATCGACAACACATGGACTTGTCTTCCCTCGAAATAATTTTCGTTGTATTTATGTCGTGTTACCTCTGCTTCACTTCTAAGCATCCTTCAATTAGCAACTAACTTAATCCAAATAATATCATGGCAAACCTTTGAGCATATAATTATGTGAAATATACCGCACCTTGCCACTACCAGGTTATTAGCGAACAAAGTCTGGGCAGACGTGCCAAAGGCCGCGGTTTCACTTGCTTTCAGAGCTGGTTTACGATCCGATTGGTATGAAATGAAGATAGGAGAAAGAACTAAAACAGAAAAATTTCTCCTGGACACCATATATTTTGAAAAAATAAAGTTCCATTGCTATCTAGCAAACACAGTGAAAAAGCTTTTCCTCTGCCCGTTATCCCTCTCTCTGTAGAATATTTCCATGTGCACCAAAGGCAACGACGAAGGCTTTTGACTTCAGATCTCGGCCAAGCTTGGAAGGCAGCTGTTTTGCTCGGATAAATTGAACTAGGGACCTGCTTGTGTGAAAGCCCATTGTCATATTTTTTTTGTTTGAAAAGCAAGACGTGGGAGGCCCGTGATACATGGCATCGAAGGAGACGCGCGGACACTGAGGAAGTGGGCCGTGGGGCCCTTTTCAATGATCGCCAATCATCACTCAACACTTCATCACTGTCTAGTATGTGCAAGTGATGGCCCAATTTATGGGTTCTCGTCCCTGCAAATGTCAAATTTATGCTTTAAGAAAGCATTGCCACTGTTGTGCGATTGTGGGAGGGGTGAGAAGCCTTAGGGTCGGTTTCAAATACGCCGTCATCCTTTTGTTTTATTGTGTTTAGTGATCATGAGTGTGTTTGGGATAGCAGTAACAGAAGTAACTTTTTACTAATATGACTTTTACAGAAATCAGATTAAGGGTGTGTTTGGATGAAACTAAACCGTGGTTTGGAAAAGTGATTCTGGAGAATAGATTCTGGAAAAAATAGATTCTGTGAAGAATAGATTTTGTAAAAAAGTGATTCTGAGAAGTGAAAGTGTTTGGATAGTTGTTATCAGAAGCACTTTTTATATATACAAATTACTAAAAAAAAGACATAAGTTAATATGATAATTACAGAAAAAATAGATTTTATGATATATTTTAATTTGAAGAAATAAAATTGTTAATAATATGTTTTTTACCAACATAATTAATAATACATAAGATAATATAATTAATAAATAATTAATGTCTATATATATTTATAAAATATAAGATTAAATATATTTATAAAAAAATATGTTTATAAAAAAATAACAAGATACATATCATATAGGCCCTCACACTCTCCCTTTTTTCTCCAAAAGCAAAAAAATTTTGCTTTTTCCAAAACCATGGTTTTGGTTTTTGGAGAGGCTGTTTGGGTAGCATTTTCCCCAAACTATGATTTGGGGTGCTATCCAAACAGAGCCTAAGTAAAAGTAGCTTTTTTGAATTTATTGTATAAGTTCGTTTCAGTGACAGAAGTTAGCTGCACAAAATGTGGATCCAAATATTATTTTTCAATCTATCTATTATTTCTTCGGTTGGAATGCATGTTTGGGCCTCCAAACGTGATCCCAAACATGCTCTATATTTATGCTTGTTGCGGGTTGACCGTGTGCTCATTTTTTGCGTGGTTCTATGTATAATCATTATACGACGTCATTTTTATTGGGAAGCAGAGCGTAACCAAATTAGTTTTTTTCCCCTTATAAACAAGGTGCTTTGGTGCAATCATTGGGTGGTGCTAGAGAGAGGGATGGAACAAAAAATAGAATGTAGAGCACATGAATATGGTGCAGGAAGCTCGGCCTCTGTTGGGGCCACAGATAGCAAGAGAACTCGCTTTGGTTCCGTGCCTGTTTCAAGGCATAATAATGTATATTGAAGATGGATCTGTTAGCTCCGAATGACTTGTAGGGGTAACATTTTATTCGAGGCTTTTAACGATTTGTGAACTGGCAACGAATCATATGCATCATCGAGCTTCCAATCCCAGCTGCCTTAACTAGCTTCCTCCACACGAAACACACCGTCCATTTTCCGTAACAAATGTTTAAGAGTAGTCACGCGTTTTAATTAAGTCCCCTTTTTTTTTTCCCGAATTTCTGAGTTCTGAAACTGCCATGGAAATACGTCAGGGGTCTTTGGACCCCGTCATATGATTGTCTTCCTCAGCTGCTCCGAGTGTTTTGATGGTATTTCTAGTTGGCATTATACAATTGGACTCTGCCGTGGTAATTCAGGACTGGCAAAATTCCCCGACATTGAAAAAGTCTTGGTCTTCCAATTCAGTATTAGACTATTAGTAGCTCAGGACCCAGTCTTCGTCGTCCAATGCTGCCAGGGCCAGTGATTCAAAGACTCTGTCCCTTCCCGCCTTCAATGCCGCCTACTCTATTTAATCATTCATTTTTCACCCGCCTCTCTTCTTTCCAAAATTTACCATCGTATTTATACTGTATTCTTTTCACCGCATCTCGTGTGCATGTGTTGCTTTCTGTCTTTCTTTCTTTTAATGTACATATTATTTATTCCATTTGTTTTTAAAACATCTATAACTTTAAAATCTTAGTTTTCTTGTGAAATTTAGAATAAAATATTGAACATTTACGCACTATTTTTGCTCTTCATCAGGAAAAAAAATGATGATGACAAGTGGAGCAATCGGGTGTTTGAAAATTTTAAACTAAATAAAAGACAATACCTTGATCGAATATCATTAAGTTTTACTACGACTTAATAAGAGTCTTGGACTAATTGACAAACGTTTTGATATGCGTATAAACTTGACCAGAACATTATTTGTCTAATACGGAAGAATATTATTGAGAGGGGGCTTACGTGGAACGATGCTGCGAGAAGATGATGCCGTTCCTAATCACATCAATAATTGTTTAGCAATCAATAACCGTGCTGTGTGGCCCAAACACTAAAATAACACAGAAAGAGCAATCAGAGGCAGAGCTTTCGGCATCAAGAGACGGGTCCTGATGTGAATTCCATGAGACCACGATCAGCTTAATTGGTGCTGTGTTGTCCACTTGGCATAAATATGTATGCGTTTTATTAAATTTAATTAATTAATAATAACTCTCACACGTACGTTGTCATTCCATTTCAAGGTTCCAAAGTCGGTACTTTCCCTGACTTCCGTCTCCCGTTTCATTTCCCTGTCATGAGCTACGCGGTTTACTCCAACTCTCATTTTCCTTTTCTTGGTTTATCCACTCAAACAATTTTCCCCGGAATTCATGTCTACCGTATCAAATAAAACGGTGATTAGATAAAATTTTGGAACTCAACATTATCTTCAGCATTTTCTGAAAAATAATATCAAATATAGTTATATATTTATTTTGGTGAGATAGGATCATTCTTTATCAGCATAAATGGAAGACTACATCCTAATATTTCTACCCTTCGTTTTAGAAACTTAATAACGCTGTTATAATATTTTTATCCTTCTCATGGATTCGTCAAAAAATAAATTTCAAACCTAACGTGAAAAAGTAAAGACACACATTTATTGTTATAATAAAGTGCTACAAATTATTGATAACAGTAGGGTCTTAATTTTACGATTTGAAGTTGAAGTTGTGCTCCGAAGATAAATAACACAATAAATATGTTATCAGGTAACACGTTAAGGATAGATGAATATTTTAATTTTTTTTATCACATATTAAGAAAAGAAGATACGTGAAGTAGAAAAAAATTGAGTTAGGAGACCAAACAGCGATATCAAAATGCAAAATACTTATAAATAAAAATCATAGTGCAACGGTATATATTTTTAGATTTCCGAGTGACCCACATTAGATACTGCTAATTTATTAATTTAATTCAACAAGAGAAAAGAGGGTTGAAAAGGCAGGCGTACGTTTGGGAGACGTTATGCCGGAGGGGAAGGAAAAGGAAGGGATGGCCCACATGGGAATCAAACGGACATTAAAAGAGGACAGGAGCTCGTGGCGGGGGCCACTTCACAGCCATGTGCCACCTCATTCATAGAGGCGGACTAATCCAAACGCGCTCATTACTCTATTCTCACCCGGCTCGAACTCCACGTGTCGCTCTTGCGCTCCTCAGCCCAATTTCCGTATTTCAATTGCCCTCGGTCCCTGACTCCTTCAGTTTTACCTTGGTTGGATTTGCCCTCCCCAAACATTAGATTTAAAAGTAATTCGTTAGTACTAAAATTAGTCATGAGCCAGTCAATGAAGCGCGTGGAGACTCGGGGTAACATATCGCATGCGAAATGACTTGTCCGCCCCTCGGTCTCCCCGCTCTGTCAGTTTCAATAGGAATCGTAATTTTAAGATAACAGCGTGTCCTTTTTCGTAAAAGGATATATGGCTTTATGAATTTCGGTGTAAAAGTATGCCTTATATATAAAGTGGTGGACAAGCATACAGCGAAGCACCAGCCAAAAACCGCTGAAGAATAATATCAGGACGGAGAGGGGAAAAAAAGCAGAGGTTCGTCTCTGTCTTTGTGTCTCTGCTAGGCTTTTGCAACTGCCACCCTCACCAGAAAGCCCACACCTTCGCCGTCGTACCCCTGTTATTGTGCTCCCCTTCTTCCTCTATTCCTATCTTGGTTTTTTCTTGCCCCGCGGAAACAACACGTTTCTTCTTTTGTAAGATTCTTCGTTCCTTTCGCATTCTGCGACTTGAAGGCAATTCCTAGTAGCGGTTATTAAAATAGTCTTTACGAGAAGGGTTTCTGCTTCTCTTTTTGGAGAAGTTAACGGGATCGAATCTGGATAGGCATTACATAGCGTTATCGGTCACGGAGCAACGATCCAACATTCTGCTAATTTTCGGTCGAAGCTTGATCTGCTTTGACTGGGTTGCGGAAAGCATCGGACTCGCGCCTATTAGAATAAGCGGAAAAATGTGGTGGATGATGGGAGAATCTGGAGGACAATACTGCCCTAAGAAGACCGATGATTTGTGCGGGGATGTTTGTGGCCAGGTATGTTGCACTTTTTGTGTTGCTTTCCCAGTTTGTATGATTCTCCTAAATTCGTCGATCTTCTCGTTGTTTTTCCGATCCCGCCTTTTCCCTTTTTAATTACCTGGTTTTGCTATTCTGGATGTCTTTGGTTTCTTGAAATAACCATATTTGATGGTTATTTGGATCTTTTAGCGTTCTAATTCACTACTTCAATTCGCGCTACATCGAAATCATGGCCCTTTACTATGTTGTCTGGGATTGAATTTCAGTTGTAGATAGTTCAATATTGAGCTAGGCAACCATGAATGCAGAGTAATCTTTAGGTGGCTGATCAAGGCCATATTGTTGGAGTTGCTCTTATTCTCTCTCTAGATATGGATGGTGATCTGAATATGGCTGTTATTAGGATAAGGAAGCCTTTTTTTTCTTAAAATTTTTTTTGAACCTCTGGTTGATCTATTCTTAGAGGTCGACTTGACTGTTTCGTAGGTGATGTGATAAACGGCAAAAATACACACAGAGAGCATTCTTTTCTACTTTTCTCTCCCTGTTTTCCTTCTTTGCGGGGGCAGGCGAGACGTGTTGTTGCCAATGGCATTTGAGTGGCTGCAAAATAAGGGTCTATCTTCACACTAACGAGATGAATTTTGGTTTTGTTCTCGTTGTCGTTGTTGTTGTTGCATGCCTCAAATTTCTTCATAATGCAGCTTAAGCTTTGTGATTAGAATTACCTTTAATGCTCATCTTCCGAAAACTTCTAATTATATCAACTACGTTAGATTAGTTAATATAATGGAAAGACAGCGTTGGAATTGAATTAACTTATTTGCAGAATTGACAAGCTATTTTCTTGATCTTTCATTTGTTAACGGTACATATGTAGTGATTTTCTTGTATGCTTGTTTTAATGTGCAGGAATCAAGTCAAGTTTCAGGCATGACAAGAATCCGCTGCATTTTGCGTGGCTTGGATGTAAAAACCTACATATTTCTTTTTGCTGTTGTCCCGATGTGCATATTGGGAATCTACATCCATGGACAGAAAATCTCTTACTTTCTGCGGCCGCTGTGGGAAAAACCACCCAAGCCTTTTAATGTCATACCGCACTACTATAATGAAAATGTGACAATGGAGAACCTTTGCAGACTCCATGGCTGGGGAATTCGTGAGTACCCAAGACGAGTCTACGATGCTGTGTTGTTCAGTAATGAGGTGGAGTTACTCACCTTACGGTGGAGGGAAATGTACCCATATGTTTCAGAATTTGTTCTCCTTGAGTCAAATTCTACTTTCACTGGATTGCCTAAACCTCTGGTTTTTAGTAGCAACAGGGAGCAGTTCAAATTTGTTGAGCCCCGGTTAACTTATGGGAGTGTTGGTGGGAGATTTAGGAGGGCAGAAAACCCATTTGTTGAGGAGGCTTATCAGCGGGTAGCATTGGATCAGCTCCTTAAAATAGCCGGTATTTCAGATGATGACCTGTTGATTATGTCTGATGTTGATGAGATACCGAGTGCTCACACTATCAATCTCCTGAGGTGGTGTGATGACATACCTTCAATTCTTCATCTTCAGTTGAAGAATTATCTTTATTCCTTTGAGTTTCATGTGGATGATAAGAGCTGGAGAGCTTCAGTGCACAGATACCAGAGTGGCAAGACAAGGTATGCACATTACCGCCAGTCTGATAACCTATTGGCAGATGCTGGTTGGCATTGTAGCTTCTGTTTTCCCCGAATCAGTGATTTCATTTTTAAGATGAAAGCTTACAGCCATTATGATAGAGTGAGGTTCTCTCATTATTTGGATCCCAAAAGAATTCAGGAAATAATATGCAAGGGCGAAGATTTATTTGACATGCTTCCAGAGGAGTACACCTTCAAGGAAATCATCAGTAAAATGGGACCAATACCCCATTCCTATTCTGCTGTTCATCTTCCTGCTTATCTTCTGGAGAATGCAGAGAAGTATAAATTTCTCCTGCCTGGAAATTGTATAAGGGAGAGCCGTTGATCTTGGAAAGGAATACGTGATACCTGCTTCTTGTGAATCTTGTAGCTCGTGTGGAGCTTGAGGGACTCTTCATGGGGGTTTTAACTGAAGTATTGATGACCTGGCGTCGCTCATGATAATTTTTGAGAGTTCATTGAGAGTTCTGACAAATTCTTTGGTTCTTGGGGGTGGGGACTCTGTACATAATTTAGAGTCGGGGAGCACTCTCTTGCGTTTTACTTCGGATTGTTTGTAGCCTATCCCCGGGAGATACATATGATAGCGTAGTTTTACTCTGTATTAAGTTCAGCACTTTTGCCCATTTGGGAGGTTTTGTTTCGGAGACAAATTTATTTATTTATTATTATTTTTTCCTAATCGATGCTGAACATATGTGTATGTATATGACTATGTACTTCTCATCTGATTGCGTGGTTTATAATATTTGATGTTTTCGCGCAATATATTTAATTTAATGTTACGGTTGCCGTCATAGTGAGTGTTTCGAGAAGTCACTGGACCATAGTTCATTTGCATTATGGGGTGTCCGTTTTACCGGTAGGGGGAAGCGAGGGACGATGTCGTTCGCGATTACCCATTTTTCTTGAGCCGGGAGAGAACTTCAGCATGGACTTCACTGTTTTTTCCCCCTTTGCAGCCTCATTACTACCTCCGAATTGACGAATCATAATATGAGAACTTCTTAATATATAAAATTAACATAAAAAATATTTAGAAACAAAATAAATAAACATTAAAGACAAAATTAAATTTTTAACTAACTTTTATATTATAATCAAAAGATATATGTATTTTTTTTTTATTAGAGACAGTCTTAAGGAATTGTAACTTTTGTTTGGGGTTTAGCCATTTCATCAGACCCAATTATCGCTGGTCATTGTGTTTTGATAGAGATTGAAGTTGAACTTGAACTCATTAGCAGTTCCTGGCTCAATGACTTGGGTAGCATATTCTATTTAAGATCCGTTTTGGGGAGCTTCAAGAACAGCATTACCTGGCGCGGAAGAGTTTATGCAGAACGCAGCCGGTAACCAGTTAATAGGTTGGGATGTCGTCTGGGAATAATTTTGCTTCCATCAAACAATCTCGAGTCCCTGCATTTCAACTCATGTTAACCACTGCGACAATACGAGAAGAAAGGATGCTCTATTTTCTCAATTTTTTTCCCTTAAAAATGAAAGAATGATCATACGTACTCGCGGATACAATTCTTTTCTTCCAAGAATTACCGAGATGATCAATGGCATGCAGAGATTGTTTTATATTTCTTTTTATTGTGAATGTCAGCACGCAGGCCCGCGAAGGAATTGGCTGAGATTGGTTATTGTGCCTAGTGAATTTACGCAGCTTTCCCAATCGTAGTGGAAGAATACGATTCACTCAGAATACGATGCCTCTCCTCCCACAAAGAAATAAATCTCCCTCACCATTGAATAATATTAAAAATGAAGAATTCAATTATTGCATTGCAGTATTAATGCCAGAGGGAATAAAACTGAGCGATCGTCTATTGTCCATTCATTTAAAATAATGAACGAGTGCAGCATTCAGGAAGAAATATATGCCCGATGAGACGGCAAAATTTAGAGAGGAAGCGCATTGATAACCAATTTCTATCCACACCTATAAAAGGCACTCATTGGATAGGAATTCAGCATCCCAACCCAGTACTGACACTTGATTATTAGTTCATTGTGTTCTTAAGTCCCGGCGAGAATGCAAATGCAGAGAAACCTTGGGTTTCAACAGCAATGCTATGGCACTGGGACTCAACAGGGGAGCTACGGGGTTCACGAGGAGACTTGGAGCTCCAGGAACGGCCATCACAACCAATTCCCAGGAAAGCGCATGACAAATGGTGCTTATGTTGATTCTCATGACTACCAAATGCACCTTGGCATGTTCAAGGAAGGCCACCACGGTCCCTCCGGTCACCATGGCCATTTCGCCGGTGGTCATACCCTCCCTTTTGGAGGGCCCACTCTGTTTTCAAACGGGCCGAAGCACTCGCACCAGCCGGGGCATGGCCGTGACTATTTCTCGGAGGTGAATAGATATGAAATGCAAAACAGCGCAGGTAAGGTGAAGGTGGATGAAATGAGATACGAGCGCCATAACTGGGGCGGCGGCAATGGCGGCTTCTCTGCTAACCCTTATGACAGGAACATGAACAACGGGGTTCACAAGTTTGACTGGCAAGTGAAAGGTGTCTAATTCGTCATCGTCATCATCGATCTCACTGTAATAATAAAGTGTGTGCTTGCTTGCTCTGTTTCCGAATCAAATAAACCTCCACTTGATCGTGCTTGGCTCCAAGTCCATGTACTATCTATCTTATCCTATTCGTCAATAAAAGCTGTTCTGAAGTGATGTGTTTGATAATAACTTACCTCATGTTATTCTCTCTGTCTTGAATTGAGGTTTATATATGGATAAAGATAAAGGCGATTAAGATTATGATTTTGCATAAAATTAAATAGGAAGAAGTTAGCCACAGAAATGATTCGTTGTTCAGTTATTTTGAACTTCTGCCATGTTTAAGTTTTTAATTGATGCTCGATTGAATTCTTAGTTTTTGTTGTGACAAGGATTGTTGAAAAATGGAAAAGAGAGGTACCTAACGAAAGCCTTAGGATTACATGCACTGCGAGGATAAGAAGGGATTTGTGCCAAATAAGATTCTCGGTAATGTTTTTGGGGAGACGAGAGTTTTCTTGGACGACTTCATTGCGTGCCAAGTGCTGTTGCTGATTTAAATCCCTATTTTACTTTCAAGGATTTGACCTTCCAGAAATAATTGCTCCAATCATTTCTTTTCCATCTCCATTGCTGCCTCACAGTTAGTAATGGATTTGGAAACGATAACACTTTTTAGAAATGACTGAATCGAGAAACCGGGGGGGGGGGGGGGGCATCTTTATATTCCCAAGAAAGTAAATATCCTGAATTAGACCACATGGCAAAAAGGAACCGGATTTCATGGGTATCTGTAGAATTCAACAAAGGTGGTGGCTTTGGAACCATTTTCTGGCGAATATCCAGACTGCTTCCTTCTCCGTTTTGTCCTTGGAACAAATGCAGCTGTACAAAAAAGACTCGTGCCTTTTCCTTTTTGTTCATAGTTTTCGCTGAATAGGAGAGTATCAGATTCACTCTTATCATAAGGGAATAACCCAGAAAGCCTAGTCGTTCATATTAAACTATAAATAATAGAAGGGAAAACATCATAAATCTCCATCATCTAATTAGACAGAGCACCACCTTCAAGATTCATAGCACAATGGCATATGAAAGCAACAATAGCCAGAGGAGAAACCGCCGCCACCACCCGCACCATCATCATCAGCTGTACGAGTGGAGCCCATCCAACGATTACCAGGAGTACGAGTACGAGGCCATAGAAGAGCCAGAGGTGAGAAGGAGCTATTATAAGCCTCACGGTCATCATCAAGCGGGCTTCAAGAGCAACAAGGAGGAGGGCATTGCAGATGTAGAAGCGTCAAGTTTGGCAGAGACCGAGACGGCTCTCGATCGTTTAAGGCACAGTGCTCATAACAGTAATGAGGATGTGGACCAAGAGGCTGACACCTTCATTCGGCTGGAGCACAGGAGGATGTACTTAACCAAGCTCATGTCCATGAGGCCCTTCTGATCCTAACTCGTGTCTGTATATGGGGGATTCATCATGCTGCGACTGTATAAATAAACTGCCAGCTCCCTTCTCTATTAAATAATGCGGCAAACCCTCACTTATTGTGATGCAGAGTGTTTTAATTGATATGCGTTAGCTTTGAGTTGTAATGTGTTTTGCAGATACAAGTATTGTTTAATCGCTGCTACTTGCTGCATGTTTCGTCTCTCTTTTCTTTTAGTGAAAAAAAAGATCCTTTTGCTGTTCAGGCTTACAGTTCATAATAGGAATGATTTATGCATAATGTCAAAATGATTGCTTTGAAAGGTTAATCTAAACGGAAGACCAGTTTGGTTGGTTATTAGGTGTTAGAATGACTTGGTTTAATAAGAGAGGCAGTCGACATCAACGAAATCGGGCAGTTGAAGTAGCTGGCCTGTATTCCTCTCCATCTCACAAGGCGGGAAACAGATGAGAGGGCGATTCAGCGCAAGCCGATCACGATTTGACGATTGAACCAAGCAAAAGTAAACAAGGCACGTTTCAGTCCACGATTTGATTCCAAAGGAATATGCTTCGCGGAAGATGCATAAACGTAATATGAAGCCCTTTAATTTCAATCCGCTCCTGCGGCAACGTAGGGATAAAGAGAGATTAATAATAATGTCATCTTGTTGGCCAAAAAATGATGATGATAGTATCCTCTTCAGCAACAACTGGAGTCATCCCCAGCCAAGGGCGTCGGGGAATCTCCAACGAATTAAACGACCAGCTGTCATGACTTGTGAAGATGAAGTCGCAGAATTGGCTCCTATGATACTGGATTTATCCTGGATGTTTGAACCGTACTTGCACCCATTTTAAAATAAATCATATTATTCGTTACTTATTAATATCTATTTGTTTTTCTTTTTAAAAAAAAAACGCAACATGCCCGCTCGTCAATGAACATCCTCTCAAACGAGAAGAACAAAGTAACAACGTACAACGTAGCATTTCATTATTTATTTTCCACTTCTAACAGAATATTACTTTTTGTCACATGTACTGCAGTAGAGCATATTACTAACATTTTCTTGTGTCAAATCCGTACTTTACCTCCACATACTTTTAACAAGTATTAATTTTGATTTCTGTAATTTAACAAGTAAACATTGTTAAAATCAAATTAAAGTCCTCATATAACTATAAATACTAATATTTTAAAAGACACAGAGCAGAGGAATGAAATACAACGGCAAAAAAATATACAAAGGCCCAAAAACACAGGCATTTGAAGCAAGTTTAACCCCCTTTGAAACAGTGATGTTTGTGGAAGAACTAATTAAGCATCATTAGCACATTATTATTGATGAGTTTGAAGTAACTAACACTTATTTGTAAACAGCGATCATTTTAATCTGATGGAGTGATATGATTATGCCCAAGTTGGGGGTCCCATGCAGTTATCGAAGGTGAGATAGAGACCACTCATGCGTATGACTGCAAGGGTTCTTTTAGGCATTTATGCGAATGCCAGTACATTTCTTTTCCTTTGCAGTACTGCCAAAACAACAAAGCAAGGATTCTAATTAACATCTAATTCTACTTATTCATCGCCTCGGCTTTCAATTACGGACACTAGAATACTTTAAACGTCACAAAGAGTTGCGTTACCAGCCAGAAATCTGCTTTAATCTAACAAGCACCGCATGCTGACAAAGACCAAATTCTCAATATGTACATCCTAATCATATAATTAGCATTCTTCATAAAAACGACCAAGTACGTATGCTTGCCACCCCCTTGCGATTTCTCCCAGCCACTAACTCCTAGAGGATCGCAGATACTCGTACTCATGCAAAGAAACCAGAAGCGACGCCCTCCTAGCTAGCCACGTTGCTCTAAAAGCCAGAGACATGAAACACAGAAAGAAGGAAGCTAGCAAGTGGAACGACAGAGAGGGCAGGTGTCGTGCCTCTTGAGGAACCACTTGTCCAAGCAAGCCGTGTGGAAGAAATGCTTGCAAGACAACTCACTCACCTCTTCACTGCCTTGGAAACGACACAGACAGACGCAGCACTCCGCCATGGCCGACCTTCTTCCGCCATCACTCACCATGCACTTGTACTGCATAATGGACACCCTCCTTCTCGCAACACAGCTCTGCTCATCATCTTCATCACCAAGCTCTTCCTGCACATTCATGTCTTCTGAGTTCCAAGCGACCGCTCGGAGAAGATACCTGAACAGGTTCTTCAACGTGGCCACCGATACCAAAGTGTTCATGACCAGCACCGGAAGCAGCCCCTCTGCTGCACTGGGGAAGTTGGACAGCCCCATTGTGATTCTTTCTTGAACTTGCGGGGAAGGCAGATTCTGGAGGAGCATAAATAAGCCAGCAGGAGGAGGAAGGCAGGAAGAGCGCTGACGGATGCTTAAATGATGACGAAACAGAGGAAGTGACAGGCATTTAGAGGAGTCAACACGTGGCGAAGCGTGTGGGGAGGAGGAAGACGATGAGGTCACGTGTCCGCGGGGCACATCGCTGCCCACAGTGATGATGCCTCCTGGCATTCATCCTCACCGCTCTCTTTTTCCCTCATCTCTCACATCTCATCATTTATTGTCCTTCTTCTCTCCTTTCTTCCTTAATCATCATCCCACTTTCCTGGATCTCCTCTCTTTTTCGGAAGCTTAAAAGCTGAGCTTCTGCATATGGAAGATATTGGATCCCTCCACATGCACATATGTTCATACTTTTCCTGTGAATCACGATGTTTAATCATAGAAGGGGAAATAGAATTCGGAGAAGATATTATTATTATTATTACTATTGTTATTATTATTTAAAAAATGATAAATTTATCTAAACGGTTTAAGTATGCAAGTGGTCAGCCGGCAGGCCCCACCAAATTTGGGGGGGGGGGGGACCTTCAAGTTTGTCACGTCCCGGCGCCCTAACGCAGATCAAAATCTAAGCAGCCTTACCATGTCACGACTTAATTAGTAATCAGCATCATTTCTAACTTATTGATTAGTTGTTTGATATTTAATACGGTCACGGAGGAGTACTAATTAAATGGCATTAATGCATTATACACTCTTTCTGGAAAAACCGGGAAAAAATAATTTGCAAACGCTTTCTAGTTTACATATTTTTTCTAGTTAAAAAAATTTAGATGGCAAAAAAGTTCTTCCCAAGTGAACAAAAGATCTCTTGATATAAGTAATTTTGACGAGATACTTCATATTCTGAGCTCTTGTATCTCCGTTCATATTCCATATTACTCAACTTGTGCTTTTGGCGCACCTAGATTATCACTTATTTCACATGGATGAGACGGATGCATGGCACAGTTCCTCTTTCAAGTTCGAATGCGTTTCGTGAATTTGCAATTAAAAAATGCATTATTCAAATCGATATTTATACACTGACAACTGACAAGACGAGAAGCAGACGTCCGAATATGAGATAAGACAGTCGTATTCTCGGGCGGATTGTAACTACAAGAGATTAATGTTGAAGACACGAAACTAGTTGTAATAGATTTTAGGTGAGGGATGACACATGGAATCTCCTTTAACGGAGACTCTAGAAAGTTCTCCGCTGTGGACAGATGTGAGGAATTGGCATCACACATGAATGAACAAGATTCGATGCGGAAAAAAAAATCATAACACACCCTCTTGACAATGACTCGCCTTCCTTTGTCTTATACGGGTTCGCTCTGAGGAACTTGTAGCCTCTAAGTTGAGCCACGTTCCTCCGCAGCACCCCAATACCATACTTAAAACTGATTTGACCCATCCATCTTTCCTCTTTGTGATGACAGATGGAACCTTACTTGAAAAATCAGCAATTCATTAGACTTTCCCATCCCTCTCCTTCTGCTGCATTACTAGCCTCCAAAAATGTTGATTACATTACACTAGTCAGTATATTATTTATCTTCATCCATACACCCACTGTCAGCAGCGAATTATACAGTCAATTTATCGCTTTTGTCGTAAGTAGGACTCTGGTTTGTGATTTGACATAACTAACATTACAAACTTGTAAAAAAAAAAAAAACCACAAATAATGAGGACGGCCTGTTTTCCAAGCACAACAGGTGGTGGTGTCCGCGTACAACATCAACTTTGGTCGTTATCTCTTAATGAGCTGTCGAATTAGACGTATCAATACCAACGGCCTTGTAGTATGCATTTTCCGCGCTAGTCAGCCGACTCTGGAACATCGTCCACTCCTTTCTACACCTCTCCCTCACCTGCCAACACAACCATCATAACACCTTAATAATAGTCAAGTCATCGCTATACGGCCCATTAATCCCAGGCACTTAAACCAGCAAATGTCTAATAAAAAAGATCGGCCAAAAATTTAAACACTGCTAAACTTACCCCCTGCCACGGTGCTTTCCCAGTTTGCGTTTGTCCCTGCTAAGCACATGAAAGTTTATAAGCTTCATAGTGCAGCTATCAGGGGATCAGATAAATCTTACAAAAATAACCATGACAAACATATCACCTGATTCCCTAGCGTGGGAACACCTTGGTGAATAATCCACTGAGAATCAACTACGCCGATCTTTTCATGGGCAGGCTATATGAGAGAAAAAGGGTATCAGTTTTGAGTTCCAATGCCATCAAGATTATAATTGCAAATTCTCTGCTTTCATAACCCCCTCTCTGTGTTTGGTTTGTGCCTCTCCTAACGCTAATTTATAACTCAACAAAATTAGATGAAAGTGGTGGTATAATAGATTCACTCACCTCAACGCATTTTCTAAGAGCGAAGTCAAGTCCCCACCCGTGGACCAGGTCATTCTGCAATACCCAGAGCCATCATGTATTATTATAAGAGATAACTGGTTGCTTAGAAAGAGAGTCAACTGTGCTTAAACAGAAGGTAATATTTGTAAAGAAAATAAAAAGGATTTGATTGAGTAGTCATTGAAACCTGAATCATATGCCACACGCAGCGCCATGCCTCTCGTGAAAACACAGGAGCCATAATCTCAACAAAGCTGCATTCACATGACAGGATGAGATAAGGCAAGTTGGACCAAATAATAGAAGTATAAGACTTCGGCAGATAATTACGCTGCACAAGGGGGCAGATGAGGGTCTGTGCACCATCCTGGCTTCTCTTCTGTTACCCTATTTCAAAAGAAGAAACAAGGTAAATGGTTATCATACATTCTGTTGCGTAACAGGCAAAACAAGAAAACCGATTCAAGATTCTCATCACTCTTACTTGTGAACTTCACGATCACCTCTCCTCTTCGTCATTTGCCATGTCAAACCTTTATTAGGTTCTAAACCTGGCTGTGAAATCTCCAAGCCATGCTTCCGTACCAGTTTTAAGTACCTGCAATCGTAATGACAATGACATATAAAACTTCAAGGGAAAGTAGAAACCTGATGGAAAAAATTATTTTACATCAAATACTCACTTCTCTGCATTGAAATGCTCAACCCCCAAGTCTTCATCCCATATAAATATGTAGTCATATGGAGCCACAATATCTGGATGCAGAAATCGTTTGGCATACCACCTAGGACATGGAAAATCAAATAGTCACTATCATATCATAATTCAAAATGACAAATCTTGTTTGGCAACAGTCGACAATATTATCTGCAAATGGTCCGATGGGCAAAACTTGAGAGCAGGAAGTTGTTTGTTACCATTTTGTCTGTTTGCGAGCACTCACATGAATAGCCCGCTTTGACCACTCAAACTCATCCCATTCCGTGGTTCGTCCATCATAATGAAACAGAAGGATCGTGAAGTTCTCTGAGAACTGTCCAAGTAATACGTTTGGTTACAGAAGAAATAAACAAGGTATTTGTATCAGCAGAGAGGGAGATGATTGTTTATTTAGATTTAGAAGAATTGATGTGGAAGAGTAAATCAGGTTTGGAATATTAAGTGACAAAGTACCAAAAAGTATTGCAAATAAAAACAATCCTCAAGAAGGAAAATTACACATACATGCTGTATTGGGAAGTTTAGCAATGAAATCTGGAGAAAAAAGAGCACCATTTTTTTAACTTCTGACATGGACTCCCTAATCACGTTTCAAATTTTCACAAGCATACAGCATTCTCATCATGCCCTCTTAGAAAAGGTGGGAAAAAATCATTACAAATCCTCCAAGGTTTAAATCAAACATGTGCGTGTGCGCGCAAAGATACCTTTTTAACTGCTGCATCAATATTCTTTTTCTGATCGTAGCCAACAGTGAACGTTACCAAATACTTTGGCTTGGATGTCAAATCCTGCAATCGAACCCACTAAATTTAGAAAACTTCAAAACATAAACATCAGATGATCAGAGATAGTTCCAGTGCAAGGTTTATCTACAGGAAAAATACACATGTAGCAAGCTACTTGAGTTTCCTTTACAGCCAGTTTCCTCAAGTTTTGGACAAGGCGGATTTTTGTCATAGAAGCAAGCAGATAGCTCAAATAATATTGTCAACCAAATATAATACCTATTTGACAACTTGAACAAACAATAGCAAATGGATTAACAGGATCTTAATACGCCTTTAAGACATGCTTTCCATGCTCCATGCACTCGTAAAGAATAAAGTTAATAGTTTTTCTCATGACAATCAGGTATTGAAGCCATATTTCAATTTTCAAATGTAAAGTGATTTAGGATACACACCTCACTGGGCTTACCCCACAATCTTCGCAAGTACAAGTCCGATTCAGCTTCAACAATTCCAGGAGGTAATCTTTCAGCACCTCTTGGGTTTGATGGAACCCAAATCTGCAGAGAAACATGGAAACAAGGAACTTATTGTAACGAAAGGCTTGAAACAAGGAAACGGAATTGGGGGAAGCCCTTTGGATTCACATATTGAGATTTCCTATTTTCTTGTTCCTCTTTTGTAGCTTAAACAGAGTGCATGATTGTGATTTCCTATTTTCTTTTCCCTTGTTTGAAAGTGCAAATTTTTGTTCAGAAAAACCATAAAGAAAACAAATAATGAACACACTAGAAAATTTAAGTAATTAGATCATGACTGTTCTGAAGTTCAAGATTTTGAGAGAAAACCAATTAGTTCCTAAAAATTACAGTGGGTGGTAGAATTTTGGTCCGTAAAGTGGGGAATGGGAGGTATGCAACTGTAAATCTTTCTAAGAACAGGAAGTTAGCCATAGAAAGAAGTGCTAAACAAACTGCAGAGACCTAACACTCTTGCTACGAACAAATTGCTCACAGGATTTCAAAGTCCACTCCATTTAATCTGGCGAACTTGTATGCTAAGTCAAGACTCTGAAAGCAAGTGCATAAAGCTAGCCAATTGATAAAATTCACTTCATTTCGCCCACCCATTAAACTCTACTGCCTTTTTATGTGTATTCCATCTCCATCCAGGAAATATCTTCCATGGATATTTGATGAGATTATGGACCTGGTTCCAATCCAAATCTACCTTCTATTTCAACCTAGAGGTAACATACTACATAATCACTAGCTTCCTGGAATTTCCATTTTTTTTTTTTTCCTTTACTACATCCTGGAATGTCTATTGACATTAAACATCGTTAATAATGCTGAAAGGGCATGATGCGTACCTTTGTACCATTTAAGGATTGATCATGTGATTGTCTGCGGCTGTTATTCTTTACAGATGACCAAGGAGAAGCACCTGTATATTTGTCCTCAATGTAAGAGAGGTCAATGGAGGGAAGAAGGCCAGACGGAAGATTAAACTGCAAAACATTAATCTCTGTCAGTACGTTGTGCTTTTTACTTCAAATCATAAATAAATTACAAAAGTATAATGTGCATCAGTGAATTGAAAGAAAAAAACTCAGTTTGCACCTTCGTTATTGACAATGTTGGAAATGATACTCCAATAAAGAAGCCAAAAATTACTCCGACAAAAGTTGTCACGATAAGCCGCATACTTTCACTTGGTTTTCTGTTAGTTGAACTGCAACCAACAAGATGAAAATGTCACTTGATTGTTAGAGATAACCTTTAACTAGTACAGACAAAATTTCTCACAATAAAAAGAATGATGAAATTAGTTTCTCCAGTGATTAGACCTGCGAGTAGTTGTCCCCATTTTATCAAAACCTCTGAGGGTGCGTAAAAATATGAGCAGAAGCTATTCTTCACCACCCAACCACTGGCATTCGCACTCCATAAAAGAAAAAAAGGTGCTCAGCAAAAGAATTCAGGCCGTGCTGAAGTTACAGAAAAGAAAGAAAGAAACAGGTTAAGCAGTGGAAAAAGGCAATGTCTCCAAAGAACGAAAAAGGAGAAAATACACCACAGTAGTGATCTCGTGAGGGTAAAGAGATATATATATATATATATATATATATATTCTGTGGAAAATCCTCCAAATGTTTCCTGGTCTTCCAGTGAATTTAAAATTCAGAATAGTTTTCTATAGGATAGGCGTCCCATAAACCAAGTAGTGTAGTAAGATTTCGTGCTGGAACTTCCTTGATCTTTTCCAACATCTCAAATGGCAATTCGGGAGTAAGGACACATCTATATGGCACGACTTACAAATATGCCACAAGAAATGGCAAAATAATAACTAGGGTTAGCAATCATCCATTCTTCAAACTACATGATTGGACCGTAAGCAAGAAAAGCACGAGATTTCCCCCAATGAACTCCGCAAATAACTCTATAGGATGGCATACAAGTCTATCTCTATGACAAGAGTGAAATACAAGGCAACTCGATGATATTCCTCACCTCCTATGGCAGAGATTACCCAACCCTGTGGCAGTTTCTAATTATATCCAATGCTGTAACTAACGAACACCCCCTTCCTCCTATTGTCCAATAATGAGAAAGAAAAGCGTAGTTGTCCGGTACTTCAGTAAGACAAGATAATTGTTCGCCGGTAACATTCGAAATCCAACGGCAAAACCAGCAGGGTCAGCTCAGATAGATTCTTTAAATTGTGCATCAGGTTTGTTGGAGAGATTTTCGTGATAGAATGTGGCAACCAGAGTCGATTGGACCAAAAAAGAAAAGAAAAGAAAAGAAAAGCTCCCCGCAACATGTGCTTGAAGGAAATGAATAGTCAATAACCTGGCAACTCAAGACAGATAATCTCAAACTGCCAGCAAACGAGCTGAAAACGAGATGCAACCGAAAAAGGCAGCGACTAAAGATTGCTCGCACCTTACAGGTTGCAGTATCTCTAAAAACTGAAGTTCCACGCTTCAAGCTCTCCAAACAAAGTTTGAGACATTTAAAAAATAAATAGCATTATATTGGGTTTAGTTGAGCGGATGATTGTTTTGGTGTCCGATTTCAGACAGCGAGATATCATATTCGCATATTGGTACTTTGTTTACGTGTCCGTTGAAAGCGCAAACAATCAGACACCGTAAGTACCAGTTAGTTAATAATCAGAGAAAGTAAGTACCAGTTAGTTCATGATCAGAGAAAGTAAAGGTCACCTGAAATAGCCCTAAAAACCGAAGCAAGATCTGACAGCAAAGGAATTTCTGGCGAACAGCTGAGAATCAGAGGAAAGGGAAACACTGTGGTACGGACAGAAATCTGAGGTGCGATGAATCAGTGATCGACCTTACCAAAGGTGCGAGAAGAAGCCGCGTAAACGAGAAATTTAACGGCGAAACACAAACAAACAAATAACGAAATGGAATGATGTCTGAGGCTCGGGAAGGGAGCAACAGGAAACAAGATCTTGAGATTTGATCAGCGGTGGGAAACAACCGAGATGATGATTGTGCTCTTGTATTGGTCTTAGAATCCCCTTCTTCCTTTAAGAAATATAAACACCCCCGAGAGCACACGAGCTTTGAATGAATTTAAAGACGCCACAAAACTTGTTTCTTTTTTCTTGAAATTTCTTATCTTACCAAACAAATAGAGAAAATATAGGGACGACGTTTTGTCAGTGCAGGAATTTAGGCGGATTATGAATTCAGTGAATTTAGGTGACTTTTCAACATATCTCTAATGGGCGGTTAATTGATTAGCCTTTCTACCCTTCACCGTGTTATTGTGTTAGTTATGAGCAAAAGGGATGAAACTGATGTATTTTAATTTTATTTAATAATTTGATAAGTTACATTATTTGCAACTGATGAATCCCATAACTTCCTCAACGGAGATTTCAGATTTCAATGCTGGTGATCTTTATTCTTAGAAGCAATTGATATTAAACTCAAATTATTTTACGTGCTAATTTTTTTTCCCCCCAGAAAGACACTTGTCTTTTGGATGAAGTTATATTTAAGGTGGCCAGGTCTAGGCTATTATTTACCTGCTGGTCAAACAAAAAAAAAAGGCTATTATTTACCAGTACTGGGCCCAAAAGGGACAAATGAAAATGAAGCATATCTTAATTTCGAAGGGACTTCCAACTCCCAAACAAATTGGATGCCTCTGTCTGCGACCTATAACCATAAGTACCGCACCGTAATGGGTAATGGGAACGAAGAAAGTTCGAAAGGTCATTTCCTGGGAAGCTCCAAAACCCACCCTGCCTTCTCAGCCTAACCAACCAAGACTTTTCAAGATGCCATTTCTGCATTCGGTCCTCTGGGACGCCAGTGGTATATGGTAATAGTAGGAACATTGCCCATACGCTCTCACACTGTTCACTCTTATTTAGGTGTGTGAGTGTGACCACATCCCCAATTGCGTGTCCCAACTAATCCAATTCTGACGTTTTAATAATTTGATGTCGTGACTGGCAACGGTTGGGAGGCCTAAAAATGAGTTACTCCATTGATCCTTTTCGACATATTGAACCCTTTGTTTATTTTAATGTTGGAATTTATTTGGATGGAAAATACTTGCTGGTGATTTGTTGTTTCTTTTCAATGCCACGGTCTTAAATATGAGATCTTTACATTATAAAATAGATATTATATTTAAAATCAAAAAAATATTAATCGATTTTTTAAAAATAAGTGACCAGTAATCCCCGATGTTACTCCTTGTGGACGTCATTTTCCTTTCAAACATAATTGACCAGTAATCCACGATGGTAATAGTAGATTATATTTCTTGGTCCAGAATGATGAGGCAGCTTCGTCTCTGTGGACATATTCAACAATAAAATTATTAAACGTCATAATGCTGACTCATTACGCGCGTTCCATTCACTCTGTTGAATCGAGGGAGTACTTGCCCCCGTATGTCATGGCGACATTTTCTGCAAGACAGACACGCATGGTTTCATGATGAAATAAATTTTGACTTTTGTCAACGACACTTGTACAGGACGAGGTATTTCAGCACACATCCGTATTATCATTAAATAATTAATCCTATTTTAAAGAACTTCTGTTGTCAGAATGATTTTGTAAATTCTTTCTCTTGTATTTACAAATCTATCCTTTTTTAATTAAATATTGTATGGCAATTTAAAACGCAACTGTCAATTTGGCCTTGTTGGATGTGTGCACTTCTAAGTGCCACCACATCCGTGATCTATCCATCTTTGTGAAAAATTCAGCCTCACTTCCCTCATAATTATCAGTTTATCATATTGCAAATTCTCTTATTTATATATGACAAAAGACCTCGTGTATGTGTTCCTTGGATTTTAAATATGAGCTAAACAATTATTGTATAATTTAAATATTTGTCACTGGATACTGGATCTATAAATACGAATTTTTCAATATTTTCTCAATTCTGGGCATATTGTACCAGCTCAATATTTATAAAATATTGATAATTTATTATTCACAAGTCACTTAATTTTCATGTTTTAAAAAAAAAAAAAAATTTCACAGTCGCCATAGGACCAGGAGATTACGGAGCTCAAAATTCAAGGCCCATATATATAGCCCAGAGAAGCCCAGTGAGAATAACTGGCAAGGAGACCCAGCCCATAATGATCCAACAAGCAAAGCATCGAAGGCCAGGCCCACCATTATTATCTGGAGTGCCTGAAAAATAAATGCGAGATGATGTGGCAAATTATCTGCTTTGTCGGCAAAAGCAAGTAGGGCAACGAACTAATTTGACTAATTCCCCAAACGGCTAGCTGCGGAATCACTCGTTTCCCTGGGACCCAACCGCCTTTCATATTTCGCTCCACCGCCCTTACTTGCCAGAACTCACTCTCTCTCTCTCTCTCCCCTTTGTTTATACTTTATAGCCGTTAAAGCCTCTCTCCTCTTCGTTCTGCTCTGGCTCTAGGCCTCCAATGGCTACCTGTTCTTCACTTTTACCTGGTACTCACTATTCTTCCTCTTTGAAGCGGAAGAGGCCCCTCAATATTCAGATCCCAGATGTCTTGCAAGAAATCCAGGCACCCAAGCTTCATGATTCGAAGGCATTGAAGGACAACGTTTCTCTTAGCGGAATTGGTTTCGGGGTCTTTTCTGTTAAAGGCAAGAAATCGTGCATGGAAGATGCTCACAAAATTGTTTCTTCTTTAGAGAGCAACCCAAAAAAGGTTGGCCATGCAGAACTGAAAAAGAGGACTTCTTTTGTTTGTTTATCTTGTTTTCTTCTCTCATATTCATAATTTGCAGGGCTTTTTCGGCGTCTATGATGGGCATGGCGGCAGGAAGGCCGCAGAGTTTGTCGTTGAGAACTTACACGCCAATATTCTCGAAATGGTGGGGAATTGTGAAGAGTCAAGGGCCAAGCGGGAGGCAGTTAAAGCTGGGTATCTAAAGACCGACGAAGAGTTCTTAAAAAAGGCAAGTGCTTGCCCTTTTTTTCCATTTTCCCAAATTCTGATGCTTCTTCTTCACAAGGTTCTGTTATTTATCACATCATTAGAGGTCTAATAAAATTATAATGTTAGTAATATTGATTTGGATCCTCTGAACTATTGACTACCTTACCTATATTAGAATATTGAATTATTGTAGCTTGTGTGTATATATATTTTGCTGAATTATTGTAGAATATAGAATGTAGTCATTGCTGAATGGAACATCCTCTGAACATGACAACCTTTTTCTTTGTATATTGTTTTCTTTTTTAATGTCTATGCGTTAATGGAACACATAAAAATGTTACAAAGGCAATAAGCTTTATAAAAATTGTTTGAGAAAATAAACTCGAAGATGCAAATAGTACTCATAAACAGTTGCGGATTTCTTTCCCCCAGAGTCTTATTGTTTGTTGGTTGTGGAAATTTTGATTTCAATGCACCGAATAGGGTATAGGAAGTGGTGCTTGTTGTGTGACAGCCTTGATCCATGGAGAAGAGATTGTTGTTTCGAACGTGGGAGATTGCAGGGCTGTTCTTTGCAGAAGTGGAGTGGCTGAAGTTCTCACTAGAGATCACAGAGCGGAACTAGAGGATGAACGGAGAAGAATTGAGGAAAAGGTACTTATTTTCTAATTCAAGAGAAAGAAAGCGATTTTTCCCCCTTGAAATTATATTTATGGAGTAAAATAGATCATCCACGTGCTATATATCTGAAGGGAGGATACGTGGAGATACATCGAGGAGCTTGGAGAGTGCATGGGGTACTCTCTGTTTCTAGAAGCATTGGGGATGCTCATCTAAAGCAGTGGGTGGTGGCTGAACCTGATACCAAGATCCTACAATTAACTGCAGATATGGAGTTTCTTGTGTTGGCTTCTGATGGACTGTGGGAAGAGGTAAGACAAATATAGCTCCTATAAATAAGATTGATTTCAAAAGCACCTGTGCATGTTATGCTTCGATTTGTTGTAGGACTACGAGATTGATTTTGTTAACATTTGTCCAGGTCAGTAATCAAGAAGCTGTTGATACTGTGACACGTTTTCTTCGAAATGAAGAGAAGATATGCTCCTTGGAAGATGTACAGAACGATATTGATGCGGATTATGGTCAAGTAAACGTAAGTCCATCATCAAAGTTACGAAGAGTTTCACTTGTGAAGCAGTCAAGGGGCAATAGGAGGAACCTGAACGGCTGGAATGAAGTTGGTGAAGATGATTTTGGTTGTGAAAATGAAAGCCCTCCATCGAAATCACGGAGAATTTCATTGGTGAAGCGAGTGAGTATGAAAAAAGAGACGTCAGTTAAAGAAAGCAATATGTGCAAGAAAAGTACCGCATCTAAACTTCTAGTAGCTTGTAAGGAGCTTGTGAACCTTGCTATGAAAAGAGGGGCTTTGGATGATATCACTGTAATGATAATTGATTTAATACATTACAAGCGTAGTACTTGAAACTTGATGCCTTAAAGGTTTTGGGCTAAGACTTAAAGTTGAGCCTATTTATATGCATCCTCTTGTTGCTCTTGATACTAGAGTCTAGATATTCTATCAGGCCAGATTTATGTGTTGGAAAAAGTTTGATCAATGTCTTTTTATGATTTAATGTTCTTAAAATCTCAGCCTAGTGACAGCCAATTAAAGAAAGCAACATGTGCAAGAAAAGTATAGTCTCTAGATTTCTAGTAGTTTGTAAGAAGCTTGTGAACCTTATTGCTTCATGGCTTTTTTGTTGGAGAAAGTTTGATCAACGTCTGACTTGACATTTCAATTCAGTGATAGCCAGTCAAAGAAAGCAATATGTGCAAGGAAAATGCAGCCTGTAGACTTTCAATAGCTTGTAAAGAGCTTGTAAACCTTATTAATTGGATAGGCCTATTGGGCTAAGCCTGTGTTGAATAAAGTTTGATTAGCATCATATTAGGCTAGACTCTGTGTTGAAGCCAGTTTGATCAACATCTTCTTATGATTTAATGGGTTTAACATCTCAACTTACCAATAGCCAGTTAAATAAAGCACTGTGTAAGAAAAGTGTAGTATCTAGACTTCTAATAGCTTGTAAGGAGCTTGTGAATCTTGCTGTAAAAAGGGCAGTATCTAGACTTCTAATAGCTTGTAAGGAGCTTGTGAATCTTGCTGTGAAAAGGGAAACTTTAAATGGTATCACTGTAAATAAGACAACGTATAAGAAAGTGTAGCTTCTAGACTTCTCATAGCTTTTAAGGAGCCTGTAAACTTTGCTGATTTAATGGGCTTAGTGGGCTAGGTATGTGTGTTGACAAAAGTTTGGTCAACATCTTAGTAGGCGAGGCCTGTGTGTTAAAGAAGTTTGATCAATATTTTCTTATGATTCAATAGGTTTAACATCTTAACTTAAAGATAAGCAGTTAAAGAAGACAACGTGCAAAAAAAGTGTTTAGACTTTTTGTAGCTTATGAAGAGCTTATGAATCTTGCTATAGAAAGGGAAACTTTGGATGATACACTGTAATAATAATTGATTTAAAATATTACAAGTGCAGCATTTGAAACTTGATGACTTAAAGGGTTTGGGTTAAGAGGTAAAATTGAGCCTATTTATATGCATCTTTTTGGTTCTCCTTATACTAGGGTTTAGACATCCTATTAGGTCATGCCCATAAGAAAAGTTGAAGGAAATAGAGTTACCCCTTTACTAATAGCTTTAATTTTTGACCTAGTGGTTACACTTCCCTCCTTGAATGCATTGTTTTGTTTTTTGTTACGCTTGATAGATAGTTTTCATTCCTTTGTATGGCACTATGGCACTATGCCATAACCATAGTGAAAATTGAAAAATCTTTCTGGGTGCATTTTCTGCTAGCATATGCCTTCTGCAGAGTGTGAAAACTGAAGGGTCTCTTGATCACAATAAAATAGAACTTTTTTTTATAACGTGAGAACATCAAGTCATTTTTCAATTTGTTAATGTTTCTTGATGTAATTTAGTCACAATGGCTTGCAAAAACTCTAAGAAAAATAACTTCCATTAGATGTAGTAATATGTGTTAAGTCTGTGGACCCAACTCACCAAACTCGCTGAAAAGTAGCAGGTTGGATTGGAAAAATGTGAACCCATTTTAATATGATTGTCTTTAGCCACAATCTACTATGAGCTAATTTGAGCTATTTTTTTAAAAATTTTTTTACAGTTTTTATTTTAATGAAAAAAATTATCATTTTCACTCAATTTAAATCTAACAATTTTATTTCTTATTTTCTTTATTTTATCATTTTTTTAGTTTTTTTTTTATTTTTTCATTTTTATATTAATAAAATAACTATTAAAAATGAATTATATGTTTATATTTTTAAGCTGAGATTAATTTAATTTATAATTACATTAAAATATAAAAATAAGGATAATTTACTCTCTAAACGTTTGTAATTTAATTTAGGATTAATATAATATTTAGTCTTTTAAGTTTACCTTCATTTTGATTTTGATCTCTCAAATTTCAAACCATAGACTTTAGACCCTAAAAAGGCAAAATAATCCAAGTTTTTATTAGATTATAAAGATCTATGTTATAAATGAAAAAAATTTGAGAAGCCAAAATCTATAGCTTTAGATTTGAAGAACCAAAACCAAAATGAAAATAAACTTAAAAAACCAAAATTTATATTAATTTAAAAGATTAAAAATATACATGTAAATTGTATAAAATAAAAAAAAAGGGGAAACAAAAAGAGGCTTGCGGGCCAACGGGCGGGTCCCCGCTTACCAGCTATAAATTACTCAGTAGTGAATGCCACACTATTTTAATACCAAAAAATCAATTTCTTTTTTTTCCAAAGAGAAAATCAATTTCTTTTTAACAGGAAGAAATAACAAAACTGCTACACGTTAGATGCAGAGACAAAATACAGGTGTCGTCTCATGATATGATAATACAACGGTTCCTGGGGGAAAAAGTAACTAAACAGTCCACCCTCGCTTCTGACGTTCCCAGGGACGATCCCCAGCTAACCACCTAATTTTTGGATGGCGTACATTTCTTGGAGAGGCACAGGGATCAAGTAGTGTAAACTTGGACCGGTAAAATTGCTGTAATCAGGCTTTACACATGCAAGGAGTCAGCGGGTTCTCCCAGAGGTCATAATTAGGGAAAGTCTGCTCTGGCAATCCAGTTCGCGTTTGGTGGGTAACCACGACATCTTCTACGAAGGTAGCCCACCCCATGTAGGGATCCCCAAAAGACTTGGACATTAGCCCCTTGTCCGGCTTGATTGATTTGAGCCGGTGACCCATGTATCTACGGGCCCCAATGATCAGTTTAGCAAAGTTGCCTCCATGGGTCATCACAAACACGTCAGATTTTAAGCATACTAAGAAATCCAGAGCTGCTAGGCTTGTCACGTGCTTTCTAAAAGGATCCAACTCCTCTTTAGTTGCCAACTCCTCCTTTGTAACCTGTTGTCCCCAAAAAATTAGGGGGGGGGGGGGGAGTGTAACGGTTAACCACATTGTGCCATGCTCAGTTTCAATAATCCATATGAAATGGGCAGGCCTTACCAGATTTGGAAACATATTCCTTAGGGGTGCCATCCGGTTTTGTCCACCATACACTTGTCCAGAAGCAACATAAATTTGAGTTTCCTTAGGATAACCCATGGCACGAAGGATCACAGCCACTTCTCCGGGCTCCAAAGGACATCGTCCTTCCTTTCGCTTCTGCAGGGCCAATTGCCATAGGTGCGAACCATTCTGCATTTTTCAACAAAGATGATATGAACAAGGTGTTGCAATTGAAGCTTCTTAAGCTTCATATCAACCATTTAACTGTACAGTACCTTGTACCGTCGAGGCCACTCCTTTTTCCTATACTCTGACATTTTAGCTTTCTCCTCTCTTGTCCCCACAAAATCACAGAACGACAGACCCACCATTCCTTTCTCAAACCTAAGATGAAGAGCCCTGTTCATGGAAAAGCTATTAGATAACTGACCAAAAATTAAGACTCAGCCATCTGCTCTATATGAGGAAGAAATTTCAGAGCGTGATAATTGATGAAACTTACATATAAGGATTTGAACTGCCAGTGCGGTTTCTCATCCTCGATGCCAGTAAATCAGCCATCTGCTCTATATGAGGAAGAAATTTCAGAGCATGATAATTGACTCTACATCTCAACCTGTTGATTTCTGGAGGAACGTTGTCATATCTGAAAAAGCGGAAGTGTTGTAATAAGAACATAAACAACAAAAAGCGTAAACAGTGGTGGATACCAAATATTTCATCCTTCACTCACCCAAGCCTGTCAACAAAAGGTTTCAAAGCCATCACCTTCTTCTCCTTGATTCTGGGCAGAACATTGTCAATGTAAAATTGAGCTGGTGCATATTTTGGAATGTTTTTCACCGTCCGTCTGAAAAACACAACATATTTCCTTGGTGAATCAAGCTGTTTGCAACCCAACACAGAAACATCACAAACCAGCCCCAAATCTCAAATTTACCTAGGCTGTCATCAATGGCAAGCATATCATACAGATAACTGTAGAAGGCTAACTAAAGAACAAAAGAAAAATCATCACAAAAAACATTTAGTCAGGGAACATGTAAAGTCCCATCTGCTCATCCAATCCTGTCATCTGCCCAAATTCACCGCCCTAATCATTCTACCAATAAACTGTCCTGTAAACGTTCAAGCAAACAATCACAACTACATAGAGCCATGTCTAGATGTCATTCGAACAACTGCATTGCACAATCTTGCACACTTTAGTGAGAAAACTAAATCTTAATTAGACTATTAGAAGTTTCAGGAAAAACAGCGCTTCTTCTCCTTTCTTTATCAGTGGATTATGACCTAAAATCATAAATCAAGGTTATGCTTAATGAACACGCAGTTACAACTGATTATCCTATTATTCGCAAGATCCAGAAACTCAATCAAAACTTGACAAAATCATTCTACAGATGACACAGCGTGCCAACAAAATACTGGCCCTTCAACAAATACATCTCTTTTAAGCAACTGAAAATTTACATTTTCAATTCAGTCAGATCCCCAATTCCCAAGATCCAGAAGCTCAACCAGAACTTGACAAAATCATTCCACAGATGAGACAGCATACCAACAAAATACTGGCCCTTCAATAAATCCATCTCTATTAAGCAACTCAAAACTTACATTCTCAATTCAGTCAGACCCATGGGACAGTAAGATGTCAAACCTTATACTTGTAAAGAGCTCTGTTTTATCAGTAAACCATGCAGGAATGTCACGGACAATCCGAACGTCATCCTTCAGATAGTCAATGAAGTGGTCTACATCAAAAATGTCTTCAAATTTCCTGCAAAACATGTAGCATATTATCTAGATGAGTAAGCCAAACCATAATTTCACACTCTCTATGATGCAGAGCCTTAGTTGCCAAGATGATCATAAAGATGAGATAGATGCAGAGGCACAAACAGTGGCAACGTGTCATGTAGGAAGAGTTATGCAATGAATGTTTGAATTTGGGTTCAAAACGACAAACTCTATTTGTTGTCAGTGCTGCTTATCTCAGTAATTGGAATATTATGATCATAGATGCAACGAGTACCTATGCATTAAGGGAAAACCAAGGTGAATCCCAAAGTGCCTTAGGACTGCAGGTGAGCTCGGAAGGGTGAATTCATTTGGCACTTCGCACAAATTTATGAAGCCAAAATTCTAGCCCTTAAGCCATAGAAGTACGAGTAGTCTGTCTACTGGAAAATGGGGATACATAATAAGACCGTGTTCGGTATCATGGAAGAAAGGAAGAAGGAATTGACATCATGCACCACTATACACTTATTATGGTTAAACAATTTCTATGCCTTTTTATTACACTTTTAAGCAGGGACTCACGGAGTCACAGGTCCACTATTTATCCATTCTTTCCTCCTTTTTTTAATTTCCATCCCCGCCTAATCTGTGAGTCTAAGTTTTTTACTTAATCTGTCGCAACTCAGTCGATCCAATCTAATGCAAATGACTGGAATAAGGCCAGTGACTTGAAAACCAACACATCATTCAGCAAATAGGTTGTTTATCCTATTTTCTGGCATCAACAGTATCTCTGGAGTAAAGTGTGTGGTGGAGGATTAAAAAAAAGGGGCGGAAAATGCAAAAGAAACAAAGAAAAGGAAAAGAAGAAGGAAGAATATGACTCGAGTAAAAAGTGATAGAACAGTTGGCTTGCCAAATGATGAAATACCAAGAGATATTAAATAGAGCTGTAAGAAGCACCTATTGATCAGTTCAATGTTTTAGTCAAAATATGGGAAGCCAAAACGACAACAGAATGCAGATGACTGATAAGTAATTGTTAAAAATACAATTCTTCAATACTTGAATTCTTGAGTACTTTGTATTTTATTCCTAGATTAGCGCATGGGAAATAGCAGTTAAATTATCAAGACCTAAAGATGAGAAAACTATTGGCAATAACTCACGTTTGGTCTTTCCAAATTTGGTCCTGCTTCAACACAGGCAAAATAAGAGTGGCATTCATTATTTTTGCAACAGCCACAGCATTGCATATCTGCATTTGGAAACATGACCCCATGTAAATTGAAAACCAGATATATTCACTAACATTGGCCACAACAACTGCACTGCACAACAATATCATATAATAACATGCAAAAACTGAACTTGCATTAGAAACAACCTTTAAATGGTAATTTTAGCTGTTCTGCACGCACAACATATTGAAAATATTACATATTACGGTACTGAGTTAAAGCTCTTATTTGAGCATGCAGAGGCTCCTTGAAACAATTACTAGGCACTCTTTTCTGTCTGTTAGACCACTATCTTCAGCGGATTATATCAACACACACACACACACACATCTTTGTACCATATAATGAACATTACGCAAAAACACCCCCCCAAATTATTTTTATCACATATTGTTCAAAGAACAATGACTTTAATAATAGAAAATTTTCCCTGGCCTTAACACATCACAGGAAAAAATGACTGCCATGTATGGATAAGACAAAAATAATAGACATACAAAAATCGAGAGGAAATTACAGAAACAGAAAATATTAAAGAAGTTTATCACAATACACAGATATTAACTCATACCGCAATTCTTTGCTGATTTAGACCACCTTCAGCATGGATGAAAATATAGCCACTTGTCTCATTTTCGAGAGGAAGTTCTGCACCAAAGTGTGATAGTATTAATCACAACAGCAACGGCAATGGTAATAAAAACAGCCACATGCTAATATTAATATTCCATCACCCCATGAAGGGTGGATCAAATAAGAAATATCAAAAGAAGAATGAAAGAAAAACTATTTGTAAATAACTTTCCATAGTGTGGTAGATGCATGGAACTCTTCCTTCATGTGCATGTGTTCTTGTGACAGAGGGGAGAAAGTGTTACATGAGAAGAAAAGTTATTGAACCTATCAACATTGTTTACAAGTAATTGCATCACAGTGATTATAGAAAAGAACCGTCATTAATTGAAATTACACATATCTTTCATCAGATTCTAATTGAAAAATGCATTGACAGTTTGTTGATATTGCTGATAAGAGAAAAAATAGTTTAAAATGCCCTTGATAATATCCCTGGCATTGTGGTTGGCAATTGGCAATTGGCATTTGGCAATGATGACGAGATGGTAACCTAAAAACACAGGAAGAGATTCCCAAAAAGAAGAAGGCAAAAAACTAGAAAACCTGAAATAACACCGTCCCGGCGCTCTGCACAAGGCTTCCAAGATGTTGTTGCAGAGTAAGGATTTTCCCAAAGAGAAGGTGATTCTTTGACCTGAAAAGGACACATCACGTGCTAAGTAAATGGACGGAGGGGAAAAACTGTGAGGCAATACACAAGGAGCAAGCTAATAATTAACGTGATAGTCCTTGATAACTTACACGGGGGCAGTGAAGAACAATCCCATCTTTTTTACATAAGTAAGGGGCATTCTACAACAAATTGAAGGCCAGATTAGTCGCGAATTTCAATAGAAAATACTTTTGAAAACATCAGCTAAGTTTATCATGGCAACAGTTCCATGAATTACTTTGGCAGCTATTCAGTAAGTATGGGCCAAGTATCGCTCTATGATGTGTTTTAACAAAGAAGAGAGGGGGTGGCGAAAAAATTACTCCCGCTTGTTCGCCCGGTGTTACGTGACAATTGGTTTTCAGGAAAAAAGACATAACACACGATAATTAATGCATACAGCATAGCAATGCAATTTGGTCATCCTTTGTTTTCCGCAAATTTTTTTCTCAGTAATCGAGCGAAAGGTTTAATCAAAAACAGAAGTAGTAGACTGACAAATAAATCGACAGCTGAAAATGTAGGAGGCAGCAGAAGCAGAGAACTCACCAATTTATTCACAATTGAAAATACTGTGACCAAACCGACGAGAACTAAAAGGAAAAGCAAAAAGAGAGAGATCCTGGAATTGTGCGAGGAAACCCTAGCATCGTCATTAAAGAACGGACACAGATGCTGGAAATGAGAAAAAAGGGGTCGATCACGTTCCTTAGAAGAATGACGGTCACGCTCGTCGTCGTCGTCGAGTAGTTGAGTCTCGGGCATCAGAGGCGATGAATCGCCGTCACGCTTCAAGGGAGAAGAAGTGGCTCGGCTTCCAAGTGAGCTGGAGTGTCTCAGCTCAGCCATGGCCCTCTTCGGACTGTATAACAGATTTGCACCCTCTGTTTTCCCAATCTGCTCCGCATCATTGCCGCGCACCGGATGCACCATGATTTGTCAAACTTATCCCCGGAGCCGGTCCATGAGGATTCAGATCCACTTCTAATACGCTTGCGTTATTAACTCATTTCATTTCATTCTTACAGGGACTCAGGGAGAATTCGGTTTTTTGTTAAAATTACAGAGCTTTTTTTTATATTTATTTTTTAGACCGACATTGTAATTCAATTTTTAACAGGCCAATATTCTACTAAATGAATTATATTACTCACAATTTCTTCATAACAGTTCTATGGCCATTACTACTATGAACCAAAAAAACATTCCGTTGCATCAATAAATTATGCATCCATATTGATTGTTGGGGTGACAGTTGCCGGATTTTCCCACCCTCTTTTCTCCTCTTCATTTTCTAGTTTAGATCAACATGTCAATTTTTAATAAAACTATTATTGACATATTAAATTATAAAAAATAATAATGATCAAATCAATATTATAAGACGGTAATAAAAAATAAAAAAGATTTTGTGGGGAAAAAAATCAAATCCAACCGTGAAAAAAAAGGCGTATGGATAGGGGAAAAAAATAGAAGACCATCGTTACCGCTTTACGGCGCCATCTGTTCCCAATTTACAACGGGAAAGGATTAAATGCATGTAATATAGTACTCCCTCCGTTTTTTATTATAAGAGACATTTGATGCTTATGGCATGTTTCAATATATAAGAGACACTTAAAAGTTGTCTCTATTTTTTTGTATTGATTTCCTATTTCACTCCTATTTATTTTGTCTCCCACTCATACTCTCTCTTCCTCCCACTTCTCTTTCTTTTAATAATTTAATTATTCTTTCATACTCTCTCCCCTTATTAATGGGGTATTGTTGGAAAAAATATTATACTTTTTACATATTAATTGTCTTCAACTAATTTTAACTGTTTTTTAATCAACGTAATTTAGTTATTTGTCTCTTGTAATAAGTAACGGAAGAGTAGCATTTTAAAATATACTAGTATTTATAAAGGCATGATGTATGTTCGAAGCGAATGCTAGGGAATTCTTACGTCGCACCTCATTCACAGGCCGGGCGAGGGTTTAAGAAGCCAAGCGGAGCAGACCATTGGTAAGCAGTGGTTGCTGCAACGTCCTTCACCGCCCTTGCACGAATGATCATGACGGAGACGGTGAGGCTTCGTCTCGTGTTCGAGGACCAGCACATGCTGAGTAAGTCAAAGAAGAAGGAGGGGCTCCAGCACTGCTGGTGTCTGCTAAAAACCCCAACCAACACTGTCTCCGATGTAGCCTCCTATATTGTCGACACTTTCCGCCTGCATCGGACCTGCCCCGATGGCATAATCCTCTCCGTATGTTCTGCACCTTTTGGATCCTACTCTCTGACTTTAACAATTGAAATATATGGATCCTTAATTTTGTGTGAAAAAGGAATGGGGCGATGATTTAAGAAAACACTCGCCTTCGTTTAAAGTCGAAGGATTAAAGTTCGGGTTTCATTTCTATTTTAGTAAACGCTAGAATGCTTACCACGATAAGCTTCTAATGGGCTTATCTATCTAAGACGTTGAGGGAGTTTGAAAATAAAGCTTCTAGGCATAATCCCAACGCTATCTGGAAATTAAAACGAATGTGCTGTAAGATATTTTGAAGCCAATCTGAGTTTTTGAGTGCAATCACTTACCCATACTTTGATCATTGATTCCCTTAGCTGGACATTGTTTCATTTTTAATATTTTTACTGCAGATGGATGGTTTTGTTTTACCGCCATTTGAATCACGTGCTATTTTGAAGGATAAAGACATTGTCTGGTGTGTTTATGGTCGACCGCTTCTCCAACATTTTATATTATTGTCATGGTAGTTTTTCTTACATTTATATATACAGTGTGAAAAGGAAAGGACGCACATCAACTGCTTCTGAGGCTGCAATGCTGACATGTGCACCGCAGGGGCATCACCGTGTAGAGCTTCCCAAGCTTCTTGCAAACGATATGTTTCAAGAGGACACTGGAGGATATAAAACCATGTCTGAAGAGGATAACATTGACTCATTTAAAGATACACTTTATCTTGAATCTAAATCACCAAACAATGCAGTCTCAAAGAAAAGAAAAGCAACAAAGAAGCTCAGGGATTCGAGGTTTGTTTCCCAATTCTCGTTAATTGTTATTAATGCAGGGCTGCTCTCTTATAAGTGTTTCAGCACTGCTAAAAGCGTCTTTTTCTCTTCATAATGTTCCTGAGTCCCATTTTTTTGAACTGTTGTATGTGACCGTACTCTTATTTACACAGCTACAACATTTCTCGGCTATTATCTGTCTGCTTTGTATTTAAACATCATAGGAGTTTTAAAATCATATGCTAAGCAATTTGGATAAAGTGGCTGTTGCCATTTGAAAGCAAACAACAGGTTTAAGGAGACGATGGAAATCAAGGTGTTATGTTTAGCCCTCCACCAATCTCGAATTCTTTTCCCACCAATTGCATGTTTTTTGCCAGGGAAATATTGAATTTACTAAAAATATTATGAGTGATAATTTTATGTCACTTAATCTTCTCTTTCTCCTCCATGTTTTAAAGAAACTTAAAAAATTTCTATCACTTGGCCTTATAGACAGCCATATAGTTTCAGCTTTATAATCTTAAGCCAGTATAACTTAAGCCTTTTATTCTGAATACTCAGGTTATTAGCAATCTTTTTCTCAATGTCCTTGTATATTTTACTGTGCGAGCATCTTCTTTATAGTTTGGGCACTCCCTTGTCAAATGCTCCCGTGCACTGCCTCTTATTTCTTGTTTCTAAGCATTGTCTGTTGTAAAAGAAACCAAAAATAACTCCTTTATGTACATATTATATACTGGAGATTTCAAACTCCATAGTCCTGTCAAACTTTTTAAACTTGTTTTAATGGCTGGAACATGAAGTTGCTGTGCCTTTTTTCATTCAAATCATGTTTCTTGTTGCAAGCTTTGGAGCTAAAGCACAATTTTTGGGAAGTTTAAACAGTATAACGGTTTTTTTGATTCAGGAAGAAGATTAAGTTATCATCTTGTGAAAAGTTGGCAGACACTCCTAAGGAACCTGTGGAGAACAATGGAAGCTTTCGAGTTTGTGGTATTCATCACCAATCAAGTCTCATCAATAAGGAAAATGGCAAGTCATCTAATTTATCCAGCCAAACAGACAAGTCAATGACCATTGAAAATCAAAAACAGAGTAATGGAATCAGTGAGCTTATGCCCAATGAAGCAAGGTTTGCATTCGTTACGTTGTGATGTTACTACTTTCAGTCCTGAATATAAGAGAATTTCTGTGCAGTTGTTTTGGTCCGAATTATTGAAATCTAAGAGCTGCATTAGTTACGTTATTCTAGTTATACCCCCTCATTAAATTGGGAGTAGTAATTAAGAATCATTATACATAAAATACAAGCTCAAACATTAAATTGGGGGCATTTGTGGGAAGAAATCTTTAATTTGTGACCCATTTAAGGAGGATAATGGTGAGGTAGTTACTTTTTTTCTTATATCAAGACCAGAGGTAGTGCATCCTGAATTTTTTCTAACTTGTACTATATTTTACTGTTGGCCGTTCTCTGAACAAGACAGTTAGCTGATAAGATGTTTTGATGGGCCTGCTGCTAAGTCTAAGGGCTGAATTTATAGTAGAAGGGCCAATAGGGGTGAAGCAGGCCCAAACCAAGTAAGAGATGGGAATATACAGCAAGGCAGAGGGCATAATGGGGAAATGGAGGCTTTCATGTTTCTTCTGGTGATATTTTATTCATTCCTTTCAAATTCTGTTTGATTTGCCTTTTTGTGGAATAATAGAAGTTCTCCTGTGAAGCGGGAAAATTATACATTGGCATTTTGAGTATTTGTCGTTTGATTCCTAGATTATTCCTGTTGAATCCTCGCTCTGATCCACTTTTAATCCCACACTCATGAAACGATGCTGGTTCCTTTTGTATTGTTAGTATAGAATATTCTGCTTTAATTTTTCTCTAAATTAATGTGTAGGTTCTGTCAACCTGAAGATGGTGGCAGAGGCAAAGTTGATGTATCGAATTCTCTTAGTGGAACTAAAAAGGTAACCTCTTAACTTCCACTACTTCAAATTGAAATGTAATTCTTGTTTCCTTTTAATCATACAAAACTAGCAAGTGTTTATAACATTATGATAATCATTGCAATATTTGGTCCAGGGGTATTCACTTCCATTTCTATTGACTTTTGTTTTTGGCTAGACGCCTAGCAGAAGTGCTCGACGGAAGAAAGCTCAAAGACAGTGGTTGAGGGAACAGTTAAAATTAGAAAAGGAAAAGGTATTCCTGTTTCATAATACCACCGCAGATGTGAATCTGCATTTAGCTTTTTATGTGCATGTTGGGAAGTGCTTTCATTTTGAATGCCATGTTGAATGGAAACGTACTTTTTATGGACGGTGTTAGTTTGCTATATTCTACTTCATAAGTTGTCCCCTTCCTATATATGAGGATTAAAAGCACATGTTAGTTTTCTCGAAGACAAGTAGCCTGAATTCTTTATTTGCGGCTATACTTTATCATTCTTTTAGGTCATTTTATTTCCTCAATTTTGCAGCTCCGTCAAAGTCCTTTGTCTGAAAAGAATGTGCAACAATTACCTGTCAAAGATAATAAAAGCATAACTTCTGATTTACATCGAGAACCTGTTGAAGAAAGTGATGCAGAGGATGATGTTGTTGCTGTGGAAATTAGGCCCGGGCACATACGCTTCGAGCCCCTTAGCAAAAGTTTGCTTCTCTTTCTCTGCTGGCTTTTAAAGATTCTCAAATAGCAAAACTTTAATTGGTTTAGAATGACTTTCATATTCTGATATATGCTTATGGTCTATTTGATGCAGATCTTGCAGCTCCCCAAAATCAATTTCCAATGGTTTGTTCATCTCCCCAGTGCCTGCCTTTCTGGGCTTTGTTTTACTTACGCTACTATAGAGTCAATGGAGTCTGATGTGATAATTATTAATTTTGAATGTAATCGTACCATACAAGTTTTGGTTGGCTCATAAGTAATGGAGAGAAGTCGGAGGGAGCTAGCAGAACTTACTAGGAATATATCCAAGTTACAATCAATCAAACTTGTTCCTGACAATCAATTTTATGGCTTTTGATCTTTTTCCCCTTTTGATTGTCGCACACGTTAGATAGAAGCTTCGTCCTTTGACAGTTCCTATGATACTTTTTGTTTTATTCAAACTTAAATGCTTGGAATATTTCAGCTTTGAAGTTGCATTACTTGCTATTTATTTAGTTATTTTTGGTATCAGGAGCTATTTTCCCTCTTGATTACTATATTTACTGGACGCTGACATGTCATCTGGATTCTTCAGGAAACGTTTAGGTGGAATGGAATTACCAACAAGAAGAAGATGCAGAAATGGGGTATAGAGAAGACTGTATCCCATAAAGTCGATTACTACAAACATTCCAATCAAGAGTGCTTCCGCATTCAGAATGCTGAAGAGAAAGAGGCACTCATGCCCGTAGACTTTGACAAGCTTATATCTTATACAGGCTTGCCTAAGGTTTGTTCTGATAACTCCTTAGTGCTCTTGAGGTTATTTATCATGCTCATAAGCGGTGGAGGAAATTAATGGAACACTGGAAGTGTGTGTTAGTCTTTATTTATTTACTTATTTTTGGTTGGCAAGCTATCTAGCTGTATTTTATTTGCCGTGGGGATTCTCGTTATTATTCTTTGGTATTAAGCAGTAACCTATGTTCCATAATATTTTTTGGCACTGTTAAATTGCTTCTCTATATGCTACAGGAAGGTGATGTCATAGCGTATCGTTTAATTGAATTATCATCATCGTGGACGCCCGAGATCTCCTCCTTCAGGGTACATACTAAGTCTGCTTTTCAACCAGCATACAAATTTTCTGCATAACAAGTTTTGATTTGCCACATTGATGTTCTTGTAGGTAGGGAAGATATCATGGTATGATCCTGACCCAAATAGGATTCGGCTGGAAGCAGTTCCAGAATATCCATTTGATTTTGGGAAGAAAGCAGACGAGGAGGTGTCTTCATTGCTGCCCGATTCATCTCCCTATGGGGAAGATGGTTCCCTGGAGGTATTTTTCATTGGAATTTTTGCTTTTATTTTGCTAATTAGCTCCCACAATAGCTATTCAGTGCTTAAGTTCTTGCCTATTGCCAACAGGGCACCTCAAATTGAATCTTGTGAATCGTGCATTTTTTATTTGGATTTATACACTTCCAATTCCGTGTCACCCTCACCATCTAGATTGTCTGATGAGAATATTTCTAGCATTCTAATGAAAATTCAGACTACTTTGCCAAAAATGTGAACCATTGAGTTGTAACAATTGTCAGTACAATTACAAACCTTAAAAGCTGATCAAGATGAGATATGTGCTATTCATATTTTGTGCCGTCTAACCTAGGTTAACGATCTTCAACCAAGTTATTTATGCTTATATTTTTGTGAGCCTTTTGTGAGGCGTAGTACAAAACATTGAAAAAGATATTTAGTTTGCTCCATGGGGTGTAGATCCTCCTGCAGAGCAGAATCAATGTATATATGCTATTGTGTATCTAATTTCATCCAGTGCATGAAAAAACACTTATAGTGAGATATTAAAATTGAATGATTCTTTTCTAACAAATAAACAAGCATGCTGCTCATTATTTGATAAGAGGATGTCCCTTCCTCAGATTGATTATTCATCACTCGTTGACGTGCGAGTGATCAAGCATGGAAACACAGAGTTAGCAAATGCAGTTACTTCCAGTAATGTCTCGGCTGATCCGACTAAAGCGACTAAGAGGAGTGGTGATGAACTTATGGATGACCAAACTGCTATACAAAGTTGCCATCCGCACAAAGAAGGTGAAGGCCATGCGCCTGCTAAAGGTAATGCCCGCCTCAGAATTCACAACACACGTTAGATATTTTGGTGGTTGGAAACATATTTGCGGCTTGATGATCTAAACTTGCGTCTCTTGTTCCAGTAGCAGAAAACAGGGAATTAAACGTGTGGGATGAAATTAACGAGGCACTAACTGCAAAGAAGGCCAAGCTTTCTCTCGAGAATGGATGGAATAAAGAGCAGAATTCAGGCTCGCGATCCTGGTCTCATAGATCTTTGAGATGCAGCGCGCTAGGTCCGACGGTGGCACTTTTAAGGGCGCAAGACGGACTTGGAGAAACCGACCAGCAATAGGGCTATGCATGTTAATCTTTGTTGTTCCCTTTTACGATATTAGATGCATTTTGCAATCCGTGGATGTATATATAACAGATCATCCGCAATGGATATCAAGCATCTTGTTCCAATCATAGTAGTGGCACAAAAGTTTGGGGGTCTATTCTTATAATCCATCCTTCGAAGATGTTATTGGATGCTATTGGAAGTGTATTTAACTGCTTTTCGCACCTTAGTAGCCAACAGGTTAGCCAGAAGCGTCCGGCTTCCTTTATCTGTCTCATGCCGAAATCAGTGCTAATTAAAAATGAAATGCCACCTTCAAATAAGATGACAAGCCTACACAGCATCATAGCCGATTCATAATTCTATTAACATTCAATCTCGGCATCACCACCCAAGTTTAGGTGGTAAAACTGTGAAAGTGAGATAAGGCGTAAAAAGTAATTAAAGCTGAAATCATCAGAAAAAAATAACTTGAAGTATCACAAGTCATTTTAAGCTTGAAACGAATCTCTAGTAGATCATAAACGTTAAGATTAAAATCTTCCTCACAAATATACTTCTCACAATTTAAATTTATACTCTCCTCCTTACAAGATAAGACCATTTATGATCTCAACTAAGAACTTGTTGTAAGCCTTATTATAATTTAATCATGAATTCATTGACTCGATAGTGTAATTAGTTTCAGAAGAAATTACCGTAATCTTCATTGAAATGGAATTTTGCTTTATAAATAGAAGCCAGAGCTAAGAATGAGCGTTATAGTAACTTTGTCAATTCAAGGTCAATATCCTGTAAAGGGGAATTTAATGGGAGCTTGTTTAGGAGATGAACAGCCTCCTTCAACCGGAAAAATAGATAGCCGAAAAAGAAGAGAAAGATATAGGCAGCTCTATATTCACTTGATTAAATCATTGTTACATATGTACTAGAAACGCTATAAAATTCATGGCCTGGATGCCATCTGTATAGCTATTTTTTCGATCTGCAGACTACCCGAGTGCAACTTCACCTCCGAAATTAGTCTCTTGGGTCTCAACCATGGCCAGACAGGAAGAAGGTGAATTCTAGTTCCAATCCCTTTAGTTTCTCCTCGACTATAATTTTTACCACTATATCACATAACATAGTCGCATATTATGATCACTGTCATTATGTTCACTCTGCGATTCACCACCTGAACTACTATCAGCATGTTCTATCGGCCCTTGTCCTTTTCCGTTGCTTTCATGATCAGATTGGTTCAAACTAACATCCTCCATTACATTACCATCTAAGTCAGGCAAAGAGAATGACTGTGATCTTACCATTTTGGTGTGGTCGTGAGATGATTCGTTGACAGAGGGAAGAAACATACGAGGTGGAGGATTACTCCCTCTGCGCTCCGCAAGGGAAGGAAAAGACACTTTAGTTGCCAAATAGGTGTTTACCCCTCCCATTGTGTGATTAGCACAAAAGGGCTCCTCTTTAGGCGACGAAACAGCTTTGAGAATTAAAGGGTTATCTGAGAAAGAAAGATCTTTGACATAAAAAGGATCAGTTGGTTCGATGCTAGAAGGTGATGGCTGCCTAGAAGACATAAGAGACAAGTCAGACCAATTTGTAGATGAAGGTGAAAATGTAAAAGAACTGGAATAATCAGAACCGGAGGGTGAGAGTGTTGGGGACTTGGAATTGAATTTTGGGCTGTTGCTTAGAAAACAAGAAAAAGGTTCTGAAGTGGGAGGAACAGAGAGATCCATAACTTCAATACTGCTATCCTTCGCAATGACTAAGCGGTTATCTGGAAAACACTCAAAAGAATCAGGGGAACCACAGAGATCATAAGTTGATGATGCTGGTGACAAATTAGGATCATCTACAGAATCTCGTTTTCCTTCATGCATAATCACACGGCATTCGTCTGCGGGTTTGGTGGTAATAACTTCACACTTCCATTTACAGGATGATGTGCGCCATCCTTTCATCATACCACGAGCAATATTCCTCCTCAGTATACTCCAACCATTTTCTCTAGCAGGTAAGCAAGTTTCTGATCCAGCACTAGAAAGAGAAAAAGGTGGAACAACCCCACCAGCAAGTGCCTTGTGGAAGATTTCAAAATCTAAATCATACTCACTGACTTTTCTCTCATCAATCCCCATACCACTACTAGCTTCAGGAACCACCACGCTTTCATGGCCTGATAAGATTTGCTCGTTGGCAAGAGCAATCCAAAACTCCAGAGGTTCTTCACCTTCTCTGATGCTCTGAAATGGACCCTTTGCCTTCTCATAACGGATGACCTGACATGCGGCAGCCCTTGCATTACATGACATCACCGGACTGCAACTTTTTCCACTCCACACATATATAGCAGAAGGAACATGAATAATGAACGCTCCACGAGAATCAAGAGCCGGAGCACCTGGATGGTTTATCATTTTGGGGACTAAATGGAGAGGGTCATATGGTGAGTGAGGGGCCATTCGGTACATCCTACGAATGGAATTTGGACTTGCGGGCATGGCAAGTACACGTTTCTGACACTGAAGAAGTTGACAAGCAAAACCCATATTCGGGTTGGTCACTCCTCGTGCAGTCTTCACATACTGAAACGCATCTTCAAAGCTCTGACCTTCTCTCCACATGAGATATGCAATGACCAGAGAGGTTGATCGAGAAACTCCCTGGCAACAGTGCACAAGCACACGCCCGCCTTGTTCTCGGACTTGCTCAAAGTAATCAAACACATCGTAAAGGATACTGGTGATATCCTCGGTGGGGCTATCCTGCAACCAGAGTGTCTTGTACTCAAAATCGCTTTTGAAATACTCAGCACAAACAAACCCAACACAGTTGAGCACATGGGTAATCCCGTTTTGCCTCAACAGCTCGTGATTCTTCGCCACTGTATCACTCCCCAGATATATATGCTCCGCGATTCTGGAACACTCCTTGTCAAAAAACGCTAATTTATCCCTCTTGAACTGAAATTCTTTTGTAGGTTGACCCGAATCAGAACTCTCCAAGGCTTCGACGGACCCTCTCGGGGTTTGTGGGAGAGGCCAAATTCCAAGATCATCAGATCCCGCGCTAGGCCACTCCTCAGCACTCCGTTTCATGATGGAGAGAGGCTGAAGAGGAGGCAACAATGGCCGGGGCTTACTATTTGCGGGTGGGCGACGGTTTTGACTACTGTTCGTCGGAGACCGATCAGTCCAAGAAACAGAACGTGAATATGTTCTCCGACCGCCGCCACCGGCGGAACAGTCCTTACCCTCTTCTCCCAACATCTTTACGAAATATATGGAAAAAGACGGTACCAAAAACTTAACCGATACCCATGAAGAGATTATCCCTCTTGAAAAGCGGAAAGAGTTGAAGAAGCAAATGGGTTTCTTCAAAATCAAACCCGTTAATGGTAGATATTGCAATTTCAGTCTACCTATTCCATATTCTCACCTAAAGCCCTTGACCATCTTCTCTCTCTTTGTCTTTCTCTCTCTTTGACTCTTTCTTCGTGAAGTGATGGAAGAAGAAAAATCAAATACGAATATGCCAACAGCCAACTTGTGGAAAGAGAATGATCGATCCCTCGCCGTCCTGCGGTCTCGGATGGAAGAATAGAAAACGATGAAGTAAAAAAGCGAACTTTGAGACCCTCCCTTCAAGCGCAGCCACCTCCTCCACACCCAGACAAGATTAAAGAGTAGCGAAACTGTTTCGATATTTTCCCCTGTGGACGATGAGTTTGCTGGCGTATTCGCACGAACAGGTGCTTCTGCTTGCTTAATGCTCTCTGAGTCTCTGGTCATGGTCTTACAACGAGCATAGAATGGGTCAAAGTGCCACGTCAGGACAGTTTTAAAACTTTGAACTTTTTGTTAATTAACAAATTTTTTTTATTGGAACGTAATATAATATTTGTGCGATACTAAATATAAAATTTATTTTGTAATGTAATTTATATTATAAAATGAGTCTTATATTTAGAACGGAAGAAGTATTTTAGAGGAACAGTATGAGCCTGATATTAAGAGATAAATATATCGATATCTTAAAAAACTAAATAAAAAATATTAACTCGTATCGGATCAGAACAATACAATATGTGTAAGTATTTTGTTACCAGAATATGTGTGAGTTTTTTTAATTGTTTTAACGTAAATATTTAGAGGAACACTTAATCTGGAATGGTATCAATTTATCAAAATTCAAAAATAGAATAATATACCTTTACTATCATTTTTCAATAAAATTATTTTGTATATTAAAAATTCGTTTAACTATTTCATGATATGCGGTCAATTTAATTAAAAAAAGGAACTTATTTCCCGGTCAAAAAAAGGAGAAACTTATTTAAAAAATTATGACTATCACGATGGAATTTAAAAAGACTCGTAATATACTATAAAAATCAATTCTATTTTCCCCAGCTATTCAGTTGAGTATTATTATCGGACAAATCATAATTCAGTCAATTATCATCAAAGAAGAATACTGCTATCATATTAGTCCAGTCAAATGTTAAACTTGGAAAGGCAAGCGGGTAAAAAACATATATTCGCGACTCAATATATTCGTACGCAGATGATAAAGTTATAAAACGTCACACAGTTTAGACGGACCATGAAGTCGTAAAATAGAAACAACCATTAGTTACAAACACCCGATTAGATAATACTTATTTCAAGTTATTTATATTTATTATGTTAAGTTCTTTAATCCCGCAAAATCAAATGTCTTATTTTTAAAATATTAATATTTAATACTATTTAATTATAAATTCATATGAAACAAAAATAAGATATTTGGTCTATGTGTAATTAGAAAAATTGATATAATGGATGTAAAAAATTTGACCTAAATTTTTTTCATTATTTATAACAAATTTTTTCCAGATCCTGCTATTTATTTGCAAATCATAATGGAATACTTAATTATCAATTGTTTTGTACATGATGTGAAAGTTGGAATAATGCAGACGTAGATCAATTCAAAGCACATGTTCGTCTCCGTGATTATTGAAACTCGGAACATTTCCTATTCTCTAATATTGAAATGAATAGTTGAGCTGCAGTAGTTCTTTTGTGATGCTATAAATCCGCTCATGACCCACAACCATAATATCATAAGTTTGAATATTGCCATACGTGTGAAAATTTCTCTGATAAACAATTTATAATTACTTTTATTTATAAGCGTTTTCTAAACTAAAAGGCATGCACTGATTTGTGTGAGCCTGAAAAATCAATTCATCTAAATTTTTTATATAAAAGAATAAAAATTAAAGATATGTATACATATGTGTGTGTGTGGTGCTTCCGGTGAGTAAAGTTAACAAAGACATCAAGAAGTTAAAATGGCAGCGCTGCCATTCATTCGTTGACCACACCTAATTTGAAGATCACGTGTTAGTTAATCAGAACCAAACAACATCAACCTCAGGGCACCACAAGTGAATCACCGCATGAACCCCAATTTGGACATTATTGAAAGAGAACGAGTTCGTTGGTACAGTTGGGCGGTGAGCCGAACCGAGACGAGCCGAGCCGGGGGGTCAGTTTTGTGCCAGCTAGCAAGCAAATGCTGAAGAAGTAAGAGGTGACGTGTGGGTCAAAAATGGGAAACATAAATTCTTAAATTAAGAAGAGAAATGAGTGTGTTATTAATACTTAATACGGCATATACTTTGCTTAAATCCTTTTGGAAGTGCATATGTGTCGACGGCCGACGACATTTGAGACGTTAAGTCAAAAAAGGGGGCTGCGCAGGAACAAGGAGAATGGATGATGACCAGTCCAAAAGCCTGTGCTGGAATTATCTGCCCCAAATGAGTCACGATTAATTAATTAAGTAGTTCCCAATTCCTCCATGTAACATCAAGTTCCCACAACAACCATTGTTTTGTCATAAAGGGAGGGAAGACGGTAATTACTAATTATGAAGGGATAATACTTATATCAAATTATTTATTTTTATTATGTTAAGTTCTTTAATCACACACAATCATGTGTCATATTTTAAAAATATTAAAATTTAATTATAAATTTATATCAAATAAAAAGACACTTAATTATATGTAATTGGAGAACTTGACATAATGAATAATGGATACAGGTGAGTTTTTTTCATTATGAAAATATGAGGTTTAATTATGTGCATTAACATGCTTTGAGGACTGAAAAGGAGTTCTGGCAAACTCCTATCTGGGCACCAGAGACTTCAGCAAAGATGTTTTCGGTATTCAAGTTCAAATGGTATATCCTAAAGGATCATTTTATTGCCAAAATGGATGTTGTTGATAAACTCTTTCATGTGTTCGAACCAAATATGCTTTAATGATGCATACGGTATTGGTCAAAGAAATTGTAAAGAGAAGAGGGCCAAAAAGTTGTGAAAGAAAATCATGTGAATCATGTTGGTGGAAAATCACATCCATAAACTAATTTTTGTTTTTTGGGGGGTTGGGGGGGGGGGACCGAACATAAATTGCAGTCAAATTAGCTCCATCACCAGTTCAATTTTTTTTTGTAACAAAAAAAAAACAACTGTTTTTTAAGCGGGAGGCAAGGAACTGTTTGTACGAGTCCAAAATGGTTCTTTGCGGTCGTTGGCCCAAACAACCAACCCAAAGAAGGAATCGGTTTGGACGGACTGTATTTGGACATAGTTAAAACGGAAACCCAACAAAAGGATCCATGCCCGGTGATAAGGGCTTCGCCATGTATGATCTGATAAAAGAACTTGTTTAAAAAACGATTAAAGTTTGACCATCTGGAAGAATTAAAATATATAATTTCAGCGTGAAATATATAATATCGAGATGTAAATGGGAAGGTGAATGACGATCTTAAAAAAAAAAAGGAACAGCATGTTTGTTTTCGGTTGGGCTCCATCGTAGAGAATGGTGGCGTTGAATAATAAATAATAAAACAATAATCTCTGTCTTCCCCAGGAAATGAAAAGGGATTCCGTTGCAGAGAGAAGAGAGAATCTTCCCTTCTGAAACAGTGGTTTGGCAATGTGTATTCCTATTTCCTAATTCCTAGTACGAGACTGCACTTTGGGCACAAGGGAGCCAACTAAACTGAAGGGTTAGCGGGAGAAAAGGCTTAAAGCAAACAGGAACAGCACAGAATTGTTTGCCCCACCTTAGTTAGCTTATGTTTGATTTGATTCTTTGCCTTTGCATTAATCATGCTTGAACTTGTCCTCAAGTCATCCTCATTCCCTCCCCTTTTATTCCGTTTTTCCTTCTTCATGGGCACTCTTCCTCCTACCCTCTTCCTACATTCCCCCCCCCCCCCGGGCGGCTACTCCCCTTAAACACCAGTCATGTCTCATCGTGAAACCAACCCTCACTTCACCAGGCCATTACGCCCCCGCCCGGAGATCATGCACGCCGCCCTCCTCCTGCTTCTGCTGTCCCGCCACCTCCCCCCCCACTCTTCCTCCCTCGTGAAGAGCCAAGACCGTCTCACCCCCCAAAACATGTCAGAATTAATGAACCTTCCCAGAAGCCACGTGCTTCTCCTTCTCTAGTGCCGCCACCTCCAAAACAGGAAAAATCCCGTAAGACTAAGCCTGCTCCGCGGCCTCCGCCGCTATCACCCCCTGACAAGTCTCGCAAGCACAAGCTTATTCCAACGCCACTACCGTCACCGGACGATGAATCTGACGCGCCTCAGCCTAAACCATCACAACCTCGCAAGCACGAGCCTATTCCAGAGCCAGTACCATCACCGGGCGATGAATCTCACATGACTCAGCCTACTACTCCACCATCACAGCGGCGTTCAACCCGAGACCACCGTGGTCGACGGGCCGGTCGTAATGGTCGTTTACGAGTACCGAAAGAGAAGGGAACTAAACCACACACGTGGTTATTCGCCGCCTTCTGTCTGATATTTTGGCTCGTCATAATCATAGGAGGCTTGATAGTGCTCATAGTGTACCTTGTTTTCCGTCCCCAGAGTCCTCACTTCGAAGTGTCGAGCGCCACGCTTAATGCAGCCTACCTGGACCTGGGCTACCTTCTCAATGCCGACGTTACGTTACTCGCAAACTTCACGAATCCGAACAAAAAGGTACATGTGGACTTCAGCACCACGATGATCTATCTCTACTATGGGAGCACGCTCATCGCCACGCAATATGTGGAACCATTCTCGACGTCCAGGGCGGAGTCCAGGTTCGCTACCGTCCATATGGTCACCAGTCAAGTTCGGCTTCCACTGGCAGAGACTCAACGCCTGGTCAAACAAGTGCAGAGCAACGGCATTATACTCGAGGTGAGGGGAGTCTTCAGGGCAAGATCCACATTGGGACGCATTTTCAGGTATTCGTATAACCTCTATGGTTATTGCACCATCATGTTGACACGCCCCCCTGGAGGGGTCCTCATCAAAAGAAATTGCAGAACCAAACGCTGAACCGGCAGGTTTTGCGGCAACATGTTCTCAAGTTAATACTCTTTTTTTGCCCTTGGGGTGGGAATTTGATTTTGCTAATTTTTTAAGATCCTTTTTTATTTTTAATAACACTCATACTGGGTTAATCTTGCTAAATGCTAATCTACAAGCGATCAGTTCTTCGTCAAATAGCAATTTGCTTCTTCATGCAGACCATGTTTAATAGAGAATCTATCTCAAATTCACACAATGTCTTGTGACTGAAGTATTACTTAAAGTACTGGCCGATGACTAGAGTAGAATACTGTAAATGAAGCCTCAAAACACGTCACCTCGTGAAAACAAGACATAACCCGAGGAGTGAAATGCTTATATAATACATTTTGGTCGTACAAAATTGGGCGCGGAGAATGGTTCTCCAGATAACAAATTTATCTACAAATACTACTATGATAGAAGAGGAAAAACTTTTGCTCTTGCACCAAGCCAAAGCGCCAACAAAACACCATTCACAGAACTGACACACATCATCATTCAAATATAACCAAGCACCGCACACTTGCAGACACGAAACCCAGCCACTCGCAATTGCATCTAAAATGTCAAAAGGCGGGACTATCTCAAAATCTCCGGTAATGCTCCTTTGTAAAGAAGGGATGCCGGAGCGCCTCGTGAGCTGTCAATCTACTGGAGGGATCAAAACGAAGAAGACCTTGCAAAAGATCAATCAGATCCCCTGCAGAGTGATCCACATGCTGCATTACTAGATTCTGTGAACAGAAGAAAAATAATTAGATAATAGGAGTAGAAATAAGTAAACAAAAGAAGACATTAAGCTGAGCGAATGAAGTATTATACAGACAGGAAGACGTGGTAGTTTCAATACAGCTTTGATGCTTTCTCGAGAGACTGCCCCCTCTGGCCAGTTCAGTCTACTCCTTCTGACAAACTTCTCTGCATGCCGGCTGTGCAATATAACAATACACAGAATCTCTTAGTAACTATTAGGAACATATCCGGGAGGCAAAAACTACATTAATCAACCGACAAAACAATAAGTAATCAATTCTTCAGAAGGTCACGTACTCTGCTCTTTTCAACATGTGCACAGGCATTGGGCCTAAAACCCTCTCCATCATAGCTAGGTGCTCTAAATTCTCATGCGTCTGAAACAAGGCCTCTCCCTGCAACCATGCTGTAGTTCATAACATCGTTCATCTAGAAAAATTTGGACCAGTCACAGATAATTTCACTACCAAGTTTATCAACATACCGAGCATAACTCTACCAAAATGCATCCAACACTCCATATGTCACAAGGGAAACTCCACCCAAGTCCTTGGAAAATAAAAATAAATTACATTTTGAACCTTATAGCAAGAGTAAAAACACAACATGATGTAAACATAAAAATAATATGTGCATAATGGAAATAGCTACATACCAAGAATAACCTCAGGTGCCCGATAATGCCTAGTAGAGACAATGTAATTGTGATCTTGGTGCTCATAGGCTGTGCTGCCAAAATCAATGACCTTGATAGCACTTGACTTTGGCAGTCTCTTATAAAAGGTTCCCTCTTTTGGTGTCCGAGATGTAACCTGCAAATAACAAGGGAACGAGGGTAGCACATTTTACAACTTCAAGAGTTGCATCACAAGCAGAGATATTCGGAACCATTTATGTTTTTTTGTTCCCCCAGGGGGGGGGGTGTTGTAATATGCAATCTAAAAACCAAATATGATGGAAGCATGAAATACCTTGTAGTCAGGTACTTTTACATATTCTGGGGAAACAAAAAGTATGTTCTCAGGTTTCAAGTCGGTGTGGATGAGACGCAAATCATGCATAACTGCAAGTCCAGACACGGCCAATGAAATCATTATAACATTGCACAACTTCCGCCCACTCTTCCCACTCGCCTGTTGGGAAGGGACTTCTCGTTCCCTCCACAACAAGTACAATGGCTTAATATCATACTATTAGGACTCTTCTCGGGGGTAAAGAATTAAGTAATAGAAGAAAACACAAATAAACAATCATCAGAAACCGTAATGAATTTCCCAGAGGCAGAGAGAAGAATGCAACTTGTATGACTTCTGTCACCAAGTTTGGAAAGAACAGAAACAGTGGAAGCAACAATCACACACATGCTACACATTCCAACAGTTGTCTGCCTAGCTCACGGACAAGATCAACTGGAAATGGGCGATAATTGTTCTTCCGTAGAAAATCATATAAGCTTGGTCCAAGCATCTCAAATACCTGTTAAGACCATTTAAATTTGACAAGTCTTAACCCCCAGAAATAGTCATTAAGTTTGGAAATGATGTTGCCATGTGTCAACTGAATACTCACAATACAGATATGGTTACGATAGTCAAACCAGTTCCGTATTTGAACACAGCTGCAAAGGATGAAATGACTTAACAACCAACAAAAACTTCAATACTAGCTAAGTAGACAGAGAGAACAGTATCAATGAAAATATGTTTACCGACTCCCAATCCTGTCATACTTCCCAAGTAACTGAAGCACATCAACTTCTACCATTGCTGCTTCACGGTATTTCTTAATACTTCGAACAACCTTTATAGCCACCAGCACCCTCATTTCTCTATCCCAACATTCCAGAACCTGACCGAAAGTACCTGCAAACAGGCAACATCTAGTGTAAAGGAAGTTGCAACTAAAATTTCACCATAAGACAAAAGAACAAAATATGTAAACATGACAAAGATGACCTTCACCAATTTTTCGGAGGATCTTATCTGCAAGGAAAGAAGAAGTGTTAAAACGAGGATCACAAGGACATTAAATGTTATACAAATGAAGCCATCAGAAAAAAACAATCCAACATAGTCAAATAAATTTTTATTGAATAAATTTCTCACAAATCCAATCATACATATCATGCTGATAGAATATCACATTAATCTATAATTATTTTATACTCTATCAATTTACTTTCACATTCATGTATGTTTTACCATCAAACATAAGAAAATGTCAGCTATTATTACATACTGCTGTCCATTGGGCATGCGGGACCAATGAGATAATTACTTCAAATTCAGTTGTTGGACTGATGAAAAGTTACACCTTATGGCATGATATTGAATGGTCTAAATATGTCAAAGCTTACAAGATGTCGATTGATCATATCATTTGTATGGAAAGAAATCTTTAAAACCTTACTACCAGACAGATCACATGATCTTTTTTTAAAAGCAGAATTAACCCACATGAAGTTTAATCATAGTTGAGATATAACTGTTTTGAGGCATAAATTTGATCTATATAAGACTGAATAATCATGCTGCCAAATAACATACAGTATTTACATGTAAGGAAAACAAATTCTAAATTCATAAGATGTAAGAATTATACCGTCAGTAACAATTAATTTCCAATATAATTATAAGAAAATCTTAAAAAGTAGGGAGTGGATGTTGAAAAGACGCTCATAGATGGTAAACGCACCAGTCCAACATCTAATTAGTAAAGTATGTCACATTCCATCCTTGTGAGGCATTCAGAATATTCAGTAAACAATATAGGCAAATACAATAACAAGAGAAAGGCTCTTCAATGGCGGCTAGATGTATTTACATCGGGGTGTTAAATTGTCACCAAGTGCAAATACGTAATGTCCATCTTTGTCGTCATCTCTCCATGGGGGAGAACTCTTTTCAGCCAACCCCTTCACAAATAGGCCAGCGTGTTCAGGGAGCATCCTTGTTGCTCCAAAGTTTGTCATATTTGCAACCTCTTGTCCATAACACATCCCTGAATAAGCCTACACAAAGCCACTTACTCATACTTCACTATATAAACAGCAATTCAATACTTATTTCCCCTAAAACTATTTGACTTTCCAGCAATTTGAAGATTTGATACATGTTACATCATTCAAATCAACATCTTTCTGCAGAATAGTATAGAAACAAAAGGTACGCAATAAGCCACAATGATATACTCAGTATGAGCTTGGACTTTTGACACAAAGATAACCGAGATGACGGAGCAAAAGCTAATTTTTATAAATGAAAATGCATTGCCATATACTGTAGCTGCTTTTGGTGGGCATCCAGGACAATAATTTGTTACATGCCGGCCAAGAAATTATTTATCTGATGATACAATTTATTAAGCCTCTTATTGGACATTTTCGAATCAGCAAATCCTTTTTACCAAATGTAACCAACATAAGCTTAGAGAAACTGCATAAAAAACTCAATCCATATCATATATCACATTTATTAATCCTTCACAAAAATCCCACTGGTCAAATCGTAAGGTCTCCAACAGAGATTTATGATAACATTCAGACAAAACCAGCTGCTGATTTTCTGAGATAGAAATCGTAGCTCAGCTAATTACTTCCACATGATATCCATCAAGCACGCAAACTTCCTCACATCTTATAACATAACTAACATGTAATCTCTCCCTTCCATTTTTTACTGAAAAAAGGGCTCGAAATTAGCAATTTGCGCGTCACATACTGTGTTCTTGAAAGTTCCTCCATTTTCCAAATTCCTACTGAAACACAATGAGAAATGTCGAAGGTTCCTTTCTAATTGCATCAAACATAGTCATTAAAAGGAGCAGATCCATAAGGATAAAAACAGTTTGCTTACCTTGGAGTGGGTTTGAGGAAATTCCCAAGCTAATTTGGCCCTTTTCCTGGGACGCCGATCCACGTGAGAGTGAGGAAACCCGGTCACGTAGTCCATCTCCATCCGATAGTCACCCCTAATCTCAGTGGGTTGATTGATCGATTCGTATGTTAGGAAAGGATTGAAATCAACTAGTTCAGAGCTGGAGAATCAGGTTCAAGCGACGCCAGCACATTGCTGATTTTCCAGCTTTCCTGTCCGTTGTTAATCTAGACCGTTCGTTTCTTTCTGCATACACTCATTACACCTGTGAGCCTGTGTCCCTTGAACAGTTGAACCAGTGAAATAAGGATCAATACACGAAAAATACTCATGTATGGTATACGATAAATTGGATAACAAATAAGTCGAGCAATATATTTTTCTAAACTATTTAATTATACGGAAAGAAAACACGTGTGGATCTGGTGCAAGGGGGTTTTAAATAAAATTTTCATTAAGATATTTAAATAACTTACTTTAATTCAATAATCATACTTTACACATTTGATTAAATTTCCAAATGATGAACAGTAAAGATAAATAACAAGTAACATTTTAATGCCTCCCATCATCATCGTTAAAATGTGCGCGACTGCTTTGGTGCTTGGCTCAATATAAAATACGTAATAATGCTATATCATATGCCATTAAGGATGGATCACGTAGAGCTTTCCTATCAACACCAACATTGCCGCGCATTAATATATCACTGTTCATGTTGATGGTATAAGGTTACAAATTCGTGACATATAAAAATGAAGAAATAAAAAATAAATACAAAAAAAAAAATTAGAATTAAAAGATACAACTATAGAAGAGGTTCGGAAAGTTCCATTTCGTTAGAATTCTGTTCTTGTGCATCGGGCCGTTGAGATCCTACAAAGTCCAGGCCAAGCCACTGCCAAGGCCAACACACATATCTAGACCTATTTCGGCCCCGACCCCGAGAGTCTTCCCTGTTCTCAAGCTCCTCAAGCTGATGAGTAAGCTCCTCCACTCTGTCCCTCAGCCTAGACGCCCTCAAGTCTGCCAGCCTCAACGATTTCTCAGCTGCATCTCTAGCTGCCATGGCAGCAGCTGTGGTCTCTTCCTTGAACTTGAGCTTATTCTCTGATTCAAGCATAGACTGCTTCGCATCCTCAAGCTCCTGCTTAAGTGCTGACAGCTGCAGATTCAGCAATTATAGATATCAATATTCAACGAACAGGGGTAACGAAAGTGTATGACGCGGGTCCCTATAGTCTTCATACCAAATATCAGCCTGCCTTGCTTCCACAAATAAACTAATTCAAGAAGACACCATAATGCCAAACTTTAAAAAGAACGGCCATCAGGCTTTGATCGGCTAAAATTGATGTTTAGGATGCACTCTACAATGGGAAAAAAGGTCCCCTCTAGCAACCACTACATATATTTGGTTATCCATATCTTTTGAATTTGTTGTTTCAACATTTGGCAACCAAAGCTCGGCATAATGACATAAATTATTTGAAAAAATTTAAATCAAGAAATACACAAAAATAAGCCTAAAATAAAGCCTCCTTCAGCCATGCTTGCGGAACTTACTAAGGTCAATCAAAATATTGCTGACGTAGAAAGTTTACCTGAGCAACATATTCTTGTTCAACGGCTCTGCCTGCAGCGGCTTCTTGCTCTGCTGCTAATTTCCATCGATTAATTTCTTCTTCAGCAGCTGCAATGTCCATCATCAAACCCTCAACCTACATCATAAACAGGCAAATTTTATACTTGGTTAGAAGCATTGCCAATCAAATCTCACTGTCAGACAATCAACATGTGGGACTATACAACATAAACTACGATTCAAATACACACACACACACACACACATCTCAAAACAACCAGTTAGAGAGCCTAGAGAAAATTAACTTCTAAGAAAGCGTAAGCTTACACTTTCATTAGCCGCTCTCTCCTTGTCTTCTAGTTCCTCTATCAGATGCATTCTATGGACAAGCTCTTTGGCTTGAGCTTCTACGTGCTGCTTAAGTAAACTCAACTCTGCCCTTAATGCGGTTAAGCAATATGCAAAGCCAATAAAAAAAATACTAGGTCAGCAAAACTAGAAATCACAATCCTACATATTCTTCAGAGAGTAATGAGGTCAAGGCTTTCCTTCATTATAACAAGCTTCGAATTAGACACATGGCAAACAGTATGACTCTGATGTTAAGTACCTTAATTCATCCACAGTATGCTGCAGCTCAATGATCTCAATCTGCGATGCCTTGACAACATTCTCCAAAGCACTGGCCTGTACACAATAAGGGCATAAATAATAAATAATTCCCTCAAAATAAACAATGAATTTTAGGATTGAAAAAGAACTTTTTGAAGCACTTACCAGAGAGTATATTTCATCCTCCTCTTTTTCTCTTATGCCCAACTTGTTGTTTGAAGCTGCATCTTTTTCATCTCCAAGAAGTTTGCTGAATTTGAAATCTAACCCGGCCTCCCTTAAGCCTTTTTCTGCAGCTTGAAACAATTCATTTTTTTGGGAAGACGCATCAGTGGCCATCCTCTTTGATAAAGCACTCCTAAGTAAGGAACCAATTTGATCTTTCTCCCTAACTAATCGAGTCACTGTGTCATCTAAAGTCCGTATTTCACCATTCTTCCCCTCAACTACATCCCTGGTTTTCTCAACAACAATCTTAGTCAACTCATACATAGATTCCATTCCCGCTAAAGAGGCACGTATATTCTCTTCAATGTCTGTTTCTTGAGGTACAAATAAGGATTCTGACAGTTCCAAATTATTTGCATCTATTATCTTCATAACATTGTAAATCTGGTTGTGGATTTTTGACACAAAACTCAACTGATCAATTAGTAAAGGCCTCAGTGATTCCATCCTTAAGGATAACGTACTCAACTTTTCATCATACTCACTAACTAACTGTCTCAACTCCAAAACCTCATTCTGTTCACTACTTAGTTTCTCTGACATCTCTTGTTCCACATCATTTATTTTTTTGTCCTTTTCTTCAAGATTTCTCTCCAAATTCTCGACAATAGAATTATTCTTCGCCACCTCTTCCCTCAACTCACCAATTGTTGCTTCCAGCTGAGAAACTTCAATGGCAATCTCATAATTCCTCTGTTCCATCTGCTCTCTAGTCTCATTCCTAGATTTAGCAGTTGCATCTATCTGTTTAACAAGCTCTTCAACAACCTCATTAGCTCTCTTAATTACCCCGTATGCTACAGCTGCCAGGCCCGAGTATCTCTGTGATTTGGGTAGTTCATTGGCAGGAAAATTTTTAAAATTACTTACCTTGGCAGATATCTTTTCAATCCCAGTCACAAACATATGGGTGGAATTTCCAATTTCTAATCGGAGGTCATCTCTCTCCTTCACCACCTCATCCAACTGCTTGGAAATCTCATCCCTCTGTGTTAAAACCTCATCCTTGGCTTTACTCGTCTCAGCTAACTCGGCCAAAACCTTATCGTATGATTTTAAAGCCTCTTCTTTCTCTAGAAAAGCGTCATCCCTCTGCCTCCCAAATTCATCCCGCTTCTTAATGGCCTCATGAGCAAGCGCCTTCAACCGATTGAATGAAACTTGCAATTCGGATTTCGTGTTTTCGGCCGCCTGGCGGGCTTGCCGCTCACGATCGAGCTCGACAAGAAGCTCCCTGACTTTGTCGACGGAGACATCTTCTGGCGCTGGATTCTTGATCACAGTCGGACCTGAATCATCACCCTCCTCCACGTCGCTAAGGACCGTATCGGCATCCTCGTTTCCGGCATCCGCCATTTATATATCATATATGCAAATACTAACTAACGCAAAATGCTATTGACGGTCAATGGAGCAACTTTCACCCACACTAAAACTGAATCACCCGTGTGGGCATTTGTCTTTTAGGTACAACAAGGAATATAGAGAACCTAAATACGCGAAACAAGGCTGGATAGGAATCGGAAACCCTAGAAAGTGGAGGGAGGAAGTCAATGAAAAGGAATCCAACGTTGTATTGATTTGGAAATTCTAAGAAGCTCGGTTCTGGATAAAGACTGGGATAATAATACGTTAATGATTAATCCAACTGGAATTAAATCAGAGTTCCTGACGATAATAGTGAATCGAGGAGAAGGGAGTTTCAACTTGGAGAGGAGGATTAAACTCAGATTCCCAATGAGACCGACGGACAGTGCCTACCAACCAGTCTTGTTTTCCCTATTTTTATTTTAATTAAAACCAAAAACATTTCACTCTTTATTATTTCATGTAACATGTAACAATCCGAGATGGGCAAAATTTTGAGAGTATTCTGTCGCATGTATCATTTAACCGTCCGGACCAGAAGGACTATTTTTTAATACCTCCTCCCCGGTACTTAATATAAAATTTGTTTTACTTTTTATTTTAGTTTTAAATATAAAATTTCAATCTACTTTATTTATCATATTTATTCATTTTTCTAAAATTATCCTTCTAATAATAGTAGTTTTAATCAATAAACTTGATTAGCGATGATATGTTAGAAAAGACAATACATATTTATTACAAATAACTAACTTAACTTGTTTCTTTAATCTACTCAATTAGTCAACTAGCTCTTATATTAAGGATCGAAGGTAACTATTACCTCCGGTCTTAAATATAAAAGCTCGTTTGATTTTAATTTGGTCCTAAATATAAGACATCATTCACTTTGTCTCTCATATTTATCTATTATTTCCTAATGTAGTCCCTATAATAATGATAATCCTAACCAATATACTTATTTAGCAAGGATATTTTAAAAAAAACAACAAATATTTATTACAAATAACTAATTTAATTAGTTGTATTAATCTATTCAAATATTAATTAATAGATCTCACTTAGTTAGCATCCCATGTGTAATTTCTTTTTAATTAGTATGTTTCTTTTGGTGGGTTAGTATGTTTTTAAAATCTGTGTGTTGATTTAACAATTTATTTATCTGACATTTTCTGAACCATGAAAAATCTAAACAACACACTAGGATATTTGCTCTAGCAGTCATCCATATGTATTGGTTGCCACGTATGAAACTCCTCTTGCGTTTTAGTTACGTCTAACCATCCCATAGCATTTTAAAGGTTACCTCCTTGAAAGGTTCATTATCATCACATTTTTACCACCTAACAAGTTGAAATTGTCTGCTTTAATTTGGAGTCGTACCCCATAGTTTTGGATCTTTACTGGTTGCTCCCTATTTCTTTATTCTCATGTGTTTTTCTATTTGCTTTTGCGGCGGGGGGTGTTAACATTTGAAAAGTCCATTGCAAATATGCGTAACTTCGTGTCAACTGTTCCTCCTTCAGGAGTGTGAGGATGTGTTTGGATAAAACCAAACCGTGGTTTGGAAAAGTGATTCTGGAGAATAGATTTTGTGGAGAATAGATTCTGAAAAAAAGTGATTCTGAGAAGTGAGAGTGTTTGGATAGTTATTACCAGAAGCACTTTTTACATGTCAAAATTACCAAAAAGGTATAAGTTAATATGATAATTATATAAGGAATAGATTTTATGATATATTTTGATTTGAGGAAATAAAATTATTAATGAAAATTTTTTTAGTAACATAATTAATAATATATAACATAATATAATTAATACATAATTAATATGTGTATATATATTTATAAAACATAATATTAAATATGTTTATAGAAAAATGAATTTTTTTTTTGGCTAATAGATAATTAATTAATTTTCTTTAAAGATTTTAAACGTGAAATATATATATTTTTAGAGTAATTAATTAATTAATTAAAACAAAAGGGAGCAAAACGATGCGCGCCACCCCCAACCTAATATACTAATCTTCATCTTGGCAGAGAAGCTGAACACGAGGCAGAGCGGGCTGAGGGAGAACACGCCGAACGAGCAGAGAACGAAACACACACACACGCGGGACGGCGGCTGGGAAAAACAGGGGACCGAAGCACGAACACAAGACGGAGACGCTGCGCGACGACAGAGGGGGAACCTCCCTTCATCACCATCGTCTTCATCCCTTCTTCTTCTCAGCCCGACCACAGAACCAGCGACGGCACGAGCTTGACGAACCAGTGAACCAGAAGCACATACTTCGACGGGAAGAATTTCAGACCTGAAGAGCGAAGCACCAGAAGAGTTTCGACCGACTGGAATGGAAGGAGCTTTGAAGTTTCGACCGACTGATAATTGAAGCCAGAAGATAATTGAAGCCGGGGCTGTTCGGTCATGTGAGGAGGGCCCACCATCAGCCTTCAATAATTAGAGCCAGAAGCGGACGAAAATAGCTTCTGATGAAACCATGGTTTGGGGGTTCAAAACCATGGTTTTAAATATTTGGGAGGCTGTTTGGGTAGCATTTTCCCCAAATCATGGTTTGGGGTGCTACCCAAACAGAGCCTGAGTCTTAATGGCTTTTTAAGGTGCTTTGCAGGCTACGCTTGTGCTAACCTCGCATGTGGTGGTCTTCTTTCATACTTGCGTTGTTCCTTCATTTTACATCATTTGTGCCTTGGAGATGCATCAAAATTCGGCTTGCAACATGCTCTCTTGACGTGACCTTTTTTCTATTTTTTTGATATGTTTATGGTGCTTGGGCTCCTTTGTGTTTGCGTGTTTAGTTCTTTATTTGCTTGATCATTTGTTTTCCTCGTTCTGTTGCAAGCCTTGATTTATCTCAGTTAATACTTTATTATTTTTTTAAAGAAATTGACCTGACTAATTAGAATTGGATCTAGCAAAAAGAGGTAATTGCTTGTAGCGAATTAGGATTCGACTTTTATTTTTAAGGATGCCTATTTTATTTGCTTTAACAAAATTTGATTTTTTTTTTTTTAAAGAAGAACTGCCATGCCAAGTTAGTAGTGATTATGTATCATTTCAGTCAAATTACTTAATTATGTTTCACCCAAAAAACACTTAATTATATGATTTTTCACGGGTAAGGCTACATGAAGTCTCTTTTAAGTTTAACCCATGGCTGTTGTTGGTTTTTTGGGTACAGAGGAAGGCCTCAGCCCATCAAAGCAAAACAGTATGGGAACAATTGGTATTGGCATCAAAAGGCTATTGCCCAGAAAAGGGAAAATTGACATAAAAAACCGCAATTGTTAGTGGGTAGAGGCCACGATATGGAGCCCAAATCAATCGAAGACATGATTAGCTTTAATACATAACAGAGCCGGTGGTGCAACGTAGTCATCCACAAAAGGCTTGTCTCTTTCGGTTCTAGATATAAAGTCTATTTTGTAATATAAATTATATTATAAAGTAAGTCTTATATTTAAAATAGAAGGAATAGCAAAAATAAATAAATAAATGAAAGGCAGCCCACTTTACCTTTTTGTCCAAACAATTTGTCTCTGTTTCCATCAGAAATAGTCTTTGATAGCTTGATTTGGAGAAAAATACTCAGCAATGGTTGAGTTTAGGCCGCCCCACAAAGGGGCATCCCCCACAAATGCGCCACCTCACTCACTTGGCCCTCCATCTCTTTCCCCCTTTCCCCTCAACCCCTGCCAAACCCTAATATTTTAATGTGAACAAGTCACACGACACAGGATAGTACTATATACACTTTCATCTTGCCAAACCCACACCTACTCTATCATCTATCATCGTACTCCTCCGATCTTTAATATAAGATTTAATTGTTAAATTAATTTTAATCTTAAAGATGATATTTATTTCTTATATTTATTAATTTTTTTAAATTACTCTTATAAATACTCCATAAACCGTGATCAAGTAAGTGAGAGAGGGAGGGAGAATATTAAGAAAGATGATTATGGTATTTTAAGAAAAATATGTCATATTTCTCATAATTAACTAACTTACCTAATTTCTTTAATCTAATCAAATTAGTTAAATAGGTCTTCTATTGAGAACTGAAAGAGTAGTATTACTGCGGATCCCAAGTTTCGACAATTCGAGAGGAATCCTAATATTTTTAGCATGTGATTTAAATTATACCCATTCCTCGTCATTCTTATACTTCATATCCATGCGCACACGTATTATACTGGGTTCAATCTCACTCTAATTCGATTAAATTCGACCGGGAAAAGAAAAACTTGATGCACTAAACTTTGAACGCATTCTGGGAATTAGTTCATGTAATGTCTTCGACCCAGTTTGATTAGGCAATTGGGCTGAACAGGATCGTACGCAACCCTATTAAAGTTGAAACTTTATGTCAATCTTCTCAAATCGTAAATAGAAAATGTTTTAATTCAAAACGTCATTTAATTAGCTTATCCTCCTATGATATTAAAACATGTCAGGCACCAAAAGAAGTTGCGTGATCACCTTTTTTTTTTTTTTTGGCCAATCGTGATCACCTAATCATGGAAGCAAGATAGATTAATTATCGTATAAGATTCTTATACACGGAATTTGCCTTTTTTGACCCCAACATATGCCCGGAATTTGCCGAGGAGGCTAGTTTCACGGGACATATTTTACTTAGTCAAATGCCCAATTAAATTTAGGGACTTTGTGGTAAAAAAGAAAAAAAAAAGAGAGAGAAAGAGAGAGAAAGGACTTGAATTTTATCATTTCGTGCGTATTGTTTTTTCATTGAAAAGAAATATTCTTTTATTTCTTAATATAAAACCTATTTAACTAATTTGATTAGATTGAGTAAGTTAGGTAAGCTAGTTAGTTATAAGAAATATGACATATTTTTTCAAAACACCATAATCATTTTTTTTAATATTTTCATTCTCTCTTCTATTTAGTTATGGTTGACGGATTATTGATAAAAATAATTTGAAAAAATTGATAAATATAAAAATAAGTATTATATTTATGATTAAAATCAACTCAATAATTAAATTTCAAGAAGCAAAGAGTGTTGTGCATCTTGTAAATTCTAATCATTAAAAGCTACAAATCAATCGAGTCTCCCCTA